ATATGTTATTTTTAATTTGTGTTATAATTGCAGCAGTTATTTATGAGGATGTAAAGAGTGAAAATCTCGTTGCATATCTCATTCATCGCGGTCCGGTCGAACCGAACCATTTGTTCCGTACAGTGCCTCACAGAAAGAGGTCCCCAGACTTCAGTCTCTATAATCGGAGGTCTAGTGGAGCCAGACGTAGTCTCAGTGGAACAACCGACGATTAGAGAGACTGAAGCTTTCGGTCTAGGGTCTACTAGACTATGTTACAGTTCCTGCATCAAATCAATGCATGAAAACTTAGATCTAGCTATTGAACTAGAAAAAGGGGTTTCTTTTTTAATAATAATACCTAGGCAATTATGAAGCAGGAAGCCCGAAACCTTAGCCTACTAAACAAATCTTAACAAACTGTAGGCCTATCCTTTTATGAATTAATGAAAAAGTAGCCCCAGAAAAAAGAGCCCCCGAAAATTTCCCAAAAATTTGAAATGGAGCCCCAGAAATGAAAAACTTTTTTTTTTGCCTGACTTTAACACTACATACCCACCCATCCACACACAAACACACCCACAAAAATCAATCAGCTTGTGGCTCGGACCAAACACTCTTCTACCATCTGATAAAGAAGAGCAAAGGCAACAAGCAGCAAAACGTAACTACCTCCATTGATTATGATGGCCACACATTTGATGGTCCAGAAGTCATACTTGGATGGCACAAGTATTTCACGGACCTGGCACATAATCCCTCCCACCTCCTTTCATCTGAGGAAAGCAAGGACTGTGCAGATATGCCTGTTGAGAGTACCCAATGTGCCTCCATGAAAGACCCTTCGACATCCCAGTGCCATCATGTATCACGTCTGAAGTATCCTGAGCTACAGGCTGCCATTGACTCACTCAAACCAGGCAAAGCCAGCGGCCCTGACAATATCAGCTCTGAACACATCAAACATCTCGGCGTGATTGCACAAAGACTCCTTCTCTTCCTCCTGAATGCTATCCTACAAAGTGGTCACTGCCCAAATTCTATGAAGACAGGTATCATTCTGCCCTTCCACAAAGGCAAAGGAAAAAGTATGCAGGATCCTCGCAACTACCGTGGCATCACTCTAACTCCAACACTCACAAAGCTGCTCGAAACCTGCATTAGGCCTCGCCTTGAGGCGCAGCCGTCCATCAAAGACATCCCTGACCAACTTCAGTTCGGCTTCCGCAAAGGCTTCTCATGTCAACTGACTGCGTTGTGCCTTCAACTCACAATCGAGATCTCAGGAGCTTCAAAGAGACCATTGTATATTTGCTTCCTGGATGCAGAGAAAGCATTTGATAAAGTTTGGCACCTTGGCTTACTCCATAAGCTAAGGAATTCTGAAGCTGATCAGGACATCCAGCACATCATACGCAACCTGTATAATGGAATGGAAAGTCAAGTCCTCTGGGATGGCAGAGTTACACAAACCATCCAAATCCAACAGGGTGTTCGTCAAGGTGGAGTCCTTTCTCCCACGCTATATACTCTGTTTGTCGATGGCCTGATCAAGAAGCTCAGAGACAGTCAGCTAGGATGCATCATTAATGGCCGCTACTCCGGTGTCATTGTGCTTGCAGACGATGTCGCCTTGATCAGCAACACACCATCACAGCTGCAAGAGATGATCACGGCAACCCAAGCCTACACAAGAGAGTGGCGCTACAAAATCAATCCCGCCAAGAGTGCAGTTGTGGTGATGAATGCTCGTAAGTTGGACAGCCAACAGGAATGGACCATGGGTGACCTCACTATATCCCGTAAAGACTCTCACGTTCATCTTGGAATCACAAAGTCATCATCTCAGACTGATCCGACTGATTGCATCATCTCGAAAGGTCTTCATGCCTTTTACGCCCTCTGCGGTGTAGGAGCCCATACGCTAGGTCTTGTCCCTCTCCTCTCTGTACGCCTTTGGAACATCTACTGCATCCCCAGGATGCTCTATGGAACATCTATCTTACACCTCAATAAGTCGATGTTATCCAAACTAAACCGTGCACAGACCCATCTATTCAAGCGTATCCTTGGCATTCCTGTCACAGCTGCTGATGAGAGTGTATCCCTCCTAACAGGCCTCATACCAATCAGCCATAGAATTGGCCAAGAAAAGCTACTGCTTCTTGGTCAACTACTGGACCTCGACTCCACCAGATTCGAGCGGCGGACCTTTCTTCATGCCCTCAGCATCGGCACTTCCTCAGTAAAAGGCCTGAAAGGTATCCTGGATTTGTACAAGCTTCCAACCATTGAGGACCTTATTACAAATCCTATTCCCTATGTCTCCTGGAAGCGCAGAGTTAAGAACTCAATCTCTGCTGCAGTCGAGGATGCTACACAGGAAGGAGCTGCCACCAAGTCGTCCCTCGCATTCTGGCATGGCAAATCCATCAACCCAAGGAACCTCTACCCCAAGGACCCACCATCAACAATAATCAGACAGGCACTGACCATAAGAGCACAGCTTCTCACATCAACCTACCTCACCCGAACCCGTCTTACCAAGATTAAGAAAGCAACCAACACAAAGTGTCCTCTCTGCAATCTTGAGGAGGATACCGTAGTTCACGTTGTGGCTTCCTGCTCGACTACTGTCAACCTTCTGGAAGACCTTATCGACAGAGCTAGTAGACTCCTGCATAATGTCCTCTAAGGATTTTATAACATATTTACAGCAGCCTACTACTTCGAATGCGATATACTCGCTGATCTCCGAAAAGCGGAGGGACAACAACAGAGAGGTAACAAATTACCAGATCTGTACACTGCCTTCTAAACAAATCTATGTAGGTCAAGACCTAGGCCTACATCAATTTACACGAGTGGGTCTGACTCTGACTCTGAGTCTGATGCCGGTTACACTTACAATACAACTTTACAATTCAAAGACTCAAGAGTCAACATCGATTCTATACTAAATCTACATGAATAGTCCATATAAAAATATGCAGATCGGTTTAATAAATTCGGCTATATATTTATAACATCCAATCCTTTGAAAACAAACAAGTAAATGTATCTTACCAAAGCCAAAGGTGCTCCAGGGAATTGATTGCTGATTAGATCTATTAGGAAATTCCTAAAAATAGACTCTAGAACTAGTAGTCTTAATTCAATGCACTGGGAAATCAACAGTGCTCTGCTCTTGAACTGAACTGAAAATTTATCTTCCATAAGAATATACAACCAAATATCGTTTAAGCTAGGTACTACTAATAGATGAATCTGACCTTAATTTGTGAAAATTAGGTTCAGAATGTTAACACTATATAATCAAAAGTTGCAATTTAGTTGGTCACCGTCAGATTTATAAGACTAGCGATCCCGGCCCCCCCCCCTTCCCACTCTGTGTTATTTAGGGTACGCATATGCTTGTTCCCTCTTTTTGAAAGCACCCCCTATCTGAGGACTGCCAACATTTCCAAACCCCCCTTTCGCGGGATTTTCGCGGGCTTTTCCTGCCTTGGAGACCCCCCTAAATTATGAAAAATGCTCAATGTACCCCCCTAATTTCGGAATAATTTCTCAGGAGTCCAAACAGATGAGAGAAAAAAAGAAAAAACACCCCCTTTTTAAAGAAATCTCTGGGTGAAAAGTTAATACACCCCTTTTTTTACAATTCTCGGCCGGACTTTGTCGCACGAAAAGAACCCCTTTACCGGACATTTAGGTAACACGCATGGGGTCCGCCCGTTCTCGGAGTGGGGGGGGGGGGGTGGGCCGGGCTAGCAATAAAGACATAATTTTGTTGATCTCTAAGATTCGAAGATAGAGAATTGATTCTCTATCTTTAAATGAAATAAATTTCTATCAATAAATAAATAAATTAATAAATGAATAAATTAAATGAATTAAACTTCTATCTAAAAAAAATTAATTAAAACCGGCGAAGTTCTAAGAGAACTCCCTCAAGGATTTTTATTTCAATTGTTTTAACTATTATTTGTAATTTATAATGATTTTTGAATTTAGAAAAAGATAGAGATATGAGAAAGAGAGAGAGAGAGAGAGAGAGAGAGAGGGGTGGAGAGAGGGAGAGGGTCGAACAATTACGAGGAGGAGGATGTGAGAGATGGAGAGCCGGGAAATATCTAGGAGGGATTTGATTTTTATTTCAATTGTTTTAACTATTATTTGTAATTTATAATGATTTTTGTTCTCATATTGATTAGATCTATAGGTAGCGATAGAAAAAGAGAGAGATATGAGAAAGAGAGAGAGAGAGAGAGAGAGAGAGCCTGAGAGGGTGGAGAGAGGGAGAGGGTCGAACAATTACGAGGAGGAGGATGTGAGAGATGGAGAGGGGAAATATCTAGGAGCTAGAACAATAAACAAACAGAGGATCGAGGGATTAACGTGTAAAAAGAAGTATGTCTGATACAAAGTGGATCGAATATGGCTGTGACTTAACTCCTTAATTTGTGATTCAGTCATCAAAGATATCTCCTTTTCATGCCCTTACAAAAGAGTACCATGGTAACCATTGCTTTTTTGTCCAAATTACCATCCACCATGGTTATCGTGCTCAGTTAATTTGTAATAATATTCAATCTACAAATAATGAGAGTATCACAATTATATCTCCTTAAAGTCCTTTTTAATCATCAATTATCACTTCAATAGTATCATAGGAACTCACTAAAACAAGACTTGAGGCGGGGTCTATAAATTGAATGAATTTTTGGAACACATTTTGATCCAAGACTACGCGGAACACACTGATTCGGCCCCAAGTATATCGACCGCTGTAGAGCACGACTAATGATATCGAAGTTTTGAAATAAATTTCTTTATCAAATTAGATTTAAATCATATTTTACTGTAAAACTAAATAAAGACATAAATTATCAATACATTTACTCACGCTCACATTCGTTTAAAAGTTAAAACCTTAGAACTAGAAATGGGTCGATTCTTATAATTTGAGTTGTGGTTGGTCGACAGTTTGGATGTTTAGTGTCCTCTCATGCTAACTCTTTCCTTCTCTCTCTAGATCTACTGGAAGTTCTAGCTACAGTAAAGGTCTACAGACAATCAAAAAAGAAAATGGCTTCACTTGTACGGTGTATCTTTGGAGCAAGGCTGTACAGAACGAATTCTCATGGAACAGTTAAGGTGAACATCACAGTATTCTATAGACCTCTATTTCTTTCTAAAAAAAATTGTAATATGTGACTGTGCTGTGATTGTGAGCAAGCATTTTATAAGGATGTCCCACATACCGCATTTTGTGTTTGTAAAAATATGGTTAGACAAACGTTAGAGCAATTATTGAATAGTAGCATTAGTACTACTATTAGTAGCCCTAAGGGCGAGGTGATAATATTAAATATGATATTGATATCACTCAGCCTTAATTGGCACCCATACTGTTCTGCGTAAAGAGTGATGTAAACAAATCTAGTAAAATGCATTCCTAATCACCCATACCGCACCCGATGAAACTTGCACATGCACACTGGCTTCAACAGTAGGGGCGCTGGCCGATGGTCCGAGAATTTAGATCGTCTTCGTTAATGCGGAAAGATGTGTCCTAAAACATAAGGATTGTCCGCATTTTCATCGACAATCCTTATATTTTAGGACGCGATTTGTCCTTGTTTACGAGGATATCCACGTTTTTGTGGACGATCCTCATTCTCGGACCAGCTCGGACTGTTCAAAGTTTGCTTTTTACTGAAAATGTGAGTAAATATCATATTTTCAGCAATATTCTAGACCCTTCGCCATCATCTCCTACACCCTGTAAGTCCTACCTGTAAGTCATTATGCACATATGATTGCTGATTTTGTTTAGATATGCCAGTTAATGATTGATCTTTTGTAATCTTTATTATTCTTTAGGGTCATGATTACCAACCCAATTCTGTTGAGAAGCACAGTGACAATATCATCAAGCTGGTAAGTTAGTAAGAGGTTGAATGAGCCACTTTGAAGATACTGCATGTGCTCATGGGCAGATAAAGGTAGTTTGTACAAAACTGTAATACCCATCAAGATGATTAATGGATATGGTTCATGAAAGTTATGTAATCATTTATGCACCTGCAGTACATTCAATGATACACAGGTGGATTTTTTTTTCTTCAAGAGGGCACACAAAAGGTATTCATGAAGCAGCTCCATCACTTTGGCAGTGATTATTCGAAACTGCACAAAGTGGGAAGTCTCTATGTGTAAAAGATCTGTAGATATATGGGGGTCATTTGTACAAGTGCCATCTCCGAGGTGGCTTATTGTATTGAAGAATTGTTATCATACATATGAAGACAGTATCAGAGATGCTCTCCAATTCAAAACATTTCCCTTTCACAGTACATAATGACATAAAAACAGTTGTTTTGAAAGAAAAATTAAAGAGTATCTGAATTATTGGGATTTGGTCATTGTTCATTTGTACCATGAAATTATGTTTTTTGGATTAACTGTTTCATTCACTTAGAGGAAATTTAAAATGTATGTGATAAAAAGAAAATACTTTTGAAAACATTTTTATTTTTCCTAATCCTACCCCCCCCCCAAAAAAAAAAAATCATTTTGCTTTGGCAATATTACATTTTATTGTGATTTAGAACTTTGTGGAATATGATGATCCCTATCAACTAAAGAATGGAAAGAAGGAATACAAGATTCTTTTCCTTCCTATTTTTATTTTATTTTTATCTTTTCAGATTTCATTTTGCTGGTCATTTGGATACTACACATCTCCAATAATCTTAACGATCTTGTATCGAAGAGGTAAGAATCTTCAGGGGTCAACAAAAAATGACACACAATACAGATTTAATGCCATAAATAAAAAAAGAAATAAATTAAGGCCATAATGTTATTGAAGAAATATCAAATTAATTATTTGTCAACCAGATAAGATTGTCATCTTGACAGAAAGCTGTTTTAACAGTAAAATATGTGAAATTTTATTTACAAGCAGAATCTAGAATATGTATATTGAAAGATTCTAAACAATCGGTATATAATTTTTAATGAATTATGGAACTAGTGATAATTTCTGAAATGTAGCCATTTATTTTTTAATAAAAAAAAAATGAACCAAAACAAACAAACGGACATAAGACTTCCAAAGAGGTGTCATAGTCGAGGGGTTTTATCACGTGACTGGAATTGCAAAGGTTGTGGGTTCTAACCCCGGCATGGCCCTTATGTATGTCCTTGAGCAAGGCATTTTTATCTACATTGCTTCTCTCCACACGGGCGTTAGGATGCAAGCATCGATGGATTAGCATGTGCGGCCCTCGTAAAAAGCGACCAGCCTTAATGCTCCCCAGGGAATGCAGAATGTGTACCGTAATATGCAGAATTGTAGTTGAATCCAATGACAGGGGTAATAAAAAAAAAACAGCAATCATGCTTGAAGAGGTTCATCTGAATGGTAAAAGATGATCAGATGATAAAAGAAAAGCAATATATATAAGAAACTGGTATTATTATTGTTTTTATTATTATTGTGCTTTAATTGATGCATGTTTGTGTCATGAATTCAATCTTTTTAGGTTACTTCAGCCTGGATGGGGCTTTGAGTCTTGGAAAGTTTGGTGGCATGGTACTACTTGCATTATGTGGAGCCTACTATGTCAGAGGTAATTTCTTAGATATTGAAATTTGAAAATACGGGGGTGGCCCAATGAAAATGGACTAGCATACTTTCAATAATACTTTCAATTTGTTTAAAGTTGTAATCACTATACGTATGGGCACTTCAAATTGGCTGAATCAATCATGTCACTGTGATGTAGTGCTGGACAACTTTTCTATTTGTTCCAACACACACACTAACTAAAATTTACGATTCGGGAGGGTCTTTTCTTTCTATAGGACCTATCATAGTATGCTAACCATAATATATATTGAGTAGTGCCCCAAAGGAGAAGGCAATGTGCAGAAAAATAGAAATTAATGATATTTGTGTACACAATGTATGGGATAATTGTCCATAAATATGTCACAATCCACTGACAAAATTGCGAATTTGAGATTCGTATAGCTTTTGATAGTGATTATTTCAAACATTAAAAACTCTCCTATCATTAATCCGTTTTATTTTAAACTTTCGCCATTCTATTTCTCTGATTGTTCTGCCTCCATAAAAATTAACATAATTTGCACACACAAATAAAGTTTTTACAAAAGTTGGATTACCCTTTAATAATACAACAGAACAAAGTGTGTGTCATAGAAAAGAAATAAATGTTCCCTTCAGACACCCAATTTTTTTTTTTACCCCAGTCGCACTAACATAAAAAATGAACAAAGAAAAAATTTAATTCCCTCAAATAGCCAAGATTTGTTGATTATTTGCCAGTTTTAGTTCGATTTCTCACTTTTAATTGGGTATTCTCCCGTGCTAACGCTCAATGATGTAGGACACTTTAGAATAAAAGATTGTTTCTGATTAAAAAATTTTTTATTTTTTTATTTTTTTTAATAATAATTTAGGTTTAGGAAGAGTTAGTAATCCAGAGTACGGGACTTTCATCAGTCTACTGGATGAGATCAATAGGAATGAACAGAATGAGAAGAGGGTGAGTAAGACTTCAGGAAATTTCTCTCATTAATACAGTGAAACCTGTATATAAAGATCACTCGCGGGAGACTAGAAAAGTGGTCTTTATAGACCGGTGGTCTTTGAGTACAGGTTTTTTTAGTACATGTTTCAATGATAAACTATTTCCAAGGGAAACAAAAAATGTGGTCTTCCTAGACTAGTGGTCTTTCTGTACAGGTGGCTGTTAAAGCAGGTTTGACTGTATGCAAATCTGTCTGAAAAGGCCACCGCGTACCTGTCCATAATAATATGATAATAATGATATTCTGCTTTTATAGAGCGCCCAATACATCGATACAACGATGTGTCTTGTGCCTTACAGATATAGATGAAGGCCACCTCGGGGAAACGGTAAAGGTAGCCACTGTAGAGAGGTGGCCTTTCTAGACAGGTCTTACAACAGATTCTTCTGAGACATAGACTGTTCTATACTACTGAAGACACGTGGCTGTTACAAAGAGATGGCCGCCATCATAGTTTATCGTGCTATTCATGATGATTTTAATACCAAATGGTTACCAAAAAGAATAATGATAATAACAATTTGTGAGAAATTTGGATATGGACATAGTTGCATTTGATTTCTAAGTAAGATATTTCACTGTAACAAAGGTATTAAACTTCATGCTTGTTTCAGTCAGTGTTGCAATGAGTCTTGGATCAATTGATCAACTACTAAATACTCTTGTTTTTTTTTTTTTTTTTTCAGAAAGAGTTGCAGATCTATGATTTCGAATTTGCTGCTTGGCCAGTCGATTATCAGTGGAGTGAAAGGTATATAATGAATACACACATGCAATGTTTATTTTTAACAATATTATCATTGTATTTTTGTGCAACAATAGGCGGTGATACAATGACAGTTAACTCTCAATAACTCATAGTCACACAAGTCCAATCAATTTTTTGTACCAAACTCATGCAAAATATGTGTTATTTACACTTTCCAAGTTTTATTTGCAGTCCCAACAGTTTTGACTTGTGCTGCAGAGTTAATTTTATTGAGAGTTAACTGTACATGTCATTTGTGAGAAATTGATTATGCGCCGCTAAAGCTATATGACTTGCGAAGTAATGACCATCTTTTGTTATGCCTCTAGTTATGGGGAATATGAGTGTTACTGTAGCACAGTTCTCCTGACTATATTGTGTTTGATGTTCAGGAATTTAAAAAAAGGACAAGCTTTAAAATTCTTAAATTGGCAGAGATTGCATTGTTTATCAATAAAATTTGGCAATTTTTCTACTTTTTTACAACATTCTTGCCAATGTATATTGTGTTCAGATATATTGAATTTTATTTTAACGAGATAGCAATAAGAGAAAATATTATTGTTGCCAATTTTGAAGAACAATATGTGATCAATTTTAATAGCCCTAAAGATAAACCCTTTCCTGAAAGGGTTACTCTTCATACAGAAACATGAGTTAACTATAAAAATGAATGCAGTGTGTGCAGTACCCTTAATTGATCCTCATGCTAATGAACCCCATACAGTCTGCTCACACCTTATTGTAATCGGCTTATTTTCATTTGCTACCATTCAGTGCCAGCCAGCCGCTGTGGAAGGACCAGTCCTCTCCAGGCTCCCAGAGATCCCGGGGTGCTGTTGAATGGCTTGGTGGGTTGCCATGCCAACTGCTTGGTTACCTGGCCATTCACAGCTTTGGGTGCAGGATAGTGTATCCAGGAAGCACAGCTCTGCTCAATGCAGCGATAGGTATGTAAAAATCCTGTTATCTTTTACAGGTCTCCACTTCTTATCTCCATTTGCTCAGACGATGAAATATTTCGTGAATTGTTGCTTCGTATTCTGATGCTCTTCGTTCATTCATTGATTTCCAACATTTTATTCAACAACTGTCATCTCATCTTACTGTCATACTCATTCAGCCTACCATTTACCTTCTTTCCTCTCTCTCTCTATCTATTTTCTCTTCATCATGTAAATTGTAAAAGTGAGTAATGTTCTCCTTTGTATTATCTATGTTCTATACAGTATGAGTATCATGTATTGTACTTTGAAACGTAAGTTATATCACACTGATCGACATTATGTATGTTTGAAATATGATGTAGAAATCAATAAATCAAATCAAATCAAAATCAAATCTCTACTCTTTCCCACCTTTTCTATCTCACTACCTGCCTCCTATTCTCATTTTCCACCTCCTCTTCTCTTTGCTCTAGTTATCTTTCTCTCTTCTGAAATTGCTGTTAGAAAGTATGTCGAAAGTACAAAGTAATATCTTTATAACGTTTATCGTTTGTTATATTTTCCATAGATCATGCAGTTCTTTTCTTTGTATGTTTGTTTATCTGAACCTATTCCATCAATTTAATCAAGTTTATTTTTACGCCTCTGAGGCAGAGAGCAGCTAATTTACAAATATACTCTATTGCGCTGTGATGAAAACAAAACGCCCAACAATGCTACTTTCAGACACAATACAAAAAACATCTGATAACATGTTCGTCTTTAACAAAACTTTGAAGACAGCAACAGATGAGGCTTTTCTTATGTCTAGTGGTAGTTTATTCCAAAGCTTAGAGCAGGGCAACTGGAAGCCCAATCTCTAAGAAAAACTTTTGTTTTGATGTGAGGTAGGTTTAGAAGCAGCTTGTCCTGTGTACTGTTTAAATTATGTGCATATGGATGTGATTTTAACATTATTATTATGTAATGTAAACATTATAATTTACTATGTTCCTTTTTACTATGTAAAAAACTAAGTTCTCTAATTTGGCCGGTTGGCCCCAAATTATTTTTACAATAAATCATTACCACAACTACTGTGAAACCTGTAAAGATCACCCAAGAGAGACAAGAAAAGTGGTCTTTATTGGCAGGTGGTCTTTATTTACAGGTTCCTCTAGTACATGTTCCAATGAGAAACCATTTTCAAGGGAAACAAAAAATGTGGTCTTTGTAGACAGGTTGTCTTTCTATACAGGTGGTCACTAAACAGGTTCGACTGTACTTCTTTCACCCTTCTACATCCTGTCCCTGTTCCCTTGTCCACTCAGGTTCTCAGCTTCTTCTCGGGAGGATGAAACTGGTTGAGAAGGACCACGGGAAGAGAGCTAAACTCAGGACCAAAGATGGCAACTCTATCGACACCATGTTTGTAGACAGGAGACTCAAGACAGTATTCCCCAATGGACAAAAACTGGTACGGTACTGAAAAAATACATGAAGAGTAAAAACTTGACATTTGATGTACCTCTTGAGGATAAAGTTGAGGTCTGGGCATGCGATTGCAATGTGAACGAAACACTGGAATCAATCAGAAAAGATTGATCATCTAGCATATAAGTATTGGTGTGTACCGCAAGGTTCTGATGTTCTTCCACACTTGCATAATAGAATGATCACGCTCGAAAATTATTTTTCACCTCTTCCAAGAACTCAACCTTCTCTTTAAGATCAGGGTTATTTGTTTTTCTATATTTTCTTCTTTACTCGTCCGTTTGCCCATAAGATGACAGATAAAGTTTTTTGAGGTTCATTTGATACATTCTTGCTATAAACAAATCATATTTTCAGGTGATTAGTATACCTAAAAATTCTTTTATGCCGTCTTATTTTTTGCTATGTAGGTGATTACGAGTGAAGGAAATGCAGGATTTTACGAGATAGGGTGCATGGAGACACCCCTCAAAGGTGAGTTGTTGTTGTTTACATGATGAGTTCTTTTGATGAACTTGATCTTGACCTTGTGGATCCTTGTTATTTGATGTAAAAAGAACTTTGATTATCGCTGATAAATAAATTCTGATATTAATAGGCTTACTTTAGCATGCACACAGAGATAAGTTTGATTATCGCTGATAAATAAATTCTGATATTAATAGGCTTACTTTAGCATGCACACAGAGATAAGTGCACTTACCTCTAGACGCACGTATGCCCAGTGCTACGCAAGTATAGGCCCACACACAGTAACAGCACTAACCTACGTACTTCCTTGACCCAACACACTTTAAGATTCCAGGGTATACATGATTGGAATTCCTTAAGCCCCAGTCCCATATAAAGCCGGACCAGCACGGACGAGCACGGACCACTCCGGACCATCCCGGACCATGGTCTGGGGTGATCCGGGATGGTCCGGGATGTTTTGTTCAAAAAAGTGTGATGCTTTTAAGCTACAGTCCCATATACGTCCCGGACCGTCCCGGACCATCCCGGACCCCATCCGGGGTGATCCGGGATTCGGTCCGTGTTGACACCGTGTTGGCACCGGGGTGGTCCTGGATGGTCCTGGGCGGTCAATAACTCACTCCCGGACTGCCACGGATCAACACGGACCGCCCCGGCGCCACTACGGATGACCCCGGACCCAGCACGGTGGCTACACGGATCACCCCGGATCAAACTATTGTCCCGGACCGTCCCGGACCGTCCCGGACCACCCCGGCAGTTTTTGACCGTCAAAAACATCCGGGGTCGACTCCCGGACCGCCCAGGACCATCCAGGACCATCCAGGACCATCCAGGACCATCCAGGACCACCCCGGTGCCAACACGGTGACAACACGGACCGAATCCCGGATCACCCCGGATGGGGTCCGGGATGGTCCGGGACGGTCCGGGACGTATATGGGACTGTAGCTTTACCTTATAATTTAAAAAGTAGTTCAACCCTATCAAAGTTTAAATATTCATGTAAACAGTTCTTGTTTAAATCAAATGAAGTGCACTGAGTAGATTTTTTTTTTTTTTTTTTTCTTCTTTTTTTTTTCTTCTTTTTTTCTGTACAATGTTCTGCCTGCGGTGTGTTGGTGTGTCTGTATGCATGTGAATGAATGAGGGTGGGTGTATGTTTGTTTTGATAAGTTTTACAATATTTGTTATAATAATTTGCTTGTATGATTACTTTTGTACAGGGCCCCATTCTCACAAGCTTTGCTTTTCTTGGGGTCCTTCCGATTTTGCTGTTAATTTGATATGTATTTTATTTTGAATTTTAATGGAAAATAAATGAAATGAAATGAAATAACCTCTGCACGCACTCGCGCGCATCATGTACTTAAAATGTTTGGATAGTACTGGAAACTATTGCATGCTTTTTCATTGAAAACGTGGGAAAGTCTCAATAAATTAATCACATGTGACCACATTGTACCAATCAATTGATTAGGATCTAGGAGTGAGTTGGATGTGATAGAATTGCACTTTTTGCATGTTTGATTAAAGAAAGTGCTTTTTTTCCTCCAAATGATGAAGGATGGTAGTGTAACAAGGAAGTCATAATATAGTTGCAAAGAAACTTTATGTGGTAGATGTAGCTAAATTCAGAGAGTTATTTTACTGATGAGGACTTATATGAATTCTTGTTTTGCTAAACCCAAAAGATTTTCTCTCTGTTTTGTAGCTGGATATTCTGTGCTTGGATGGAACCACCCTGGATTTGGAGGGAGTACTGTAAGTTCATATCCTCCTCCTCCTCCTATTCTTAAACCCTGTCTGTACTTTACTTCTTCCTCTTTGCTTCTCTTTGTCACTTTAATTATCTTTTTTTTATTGTTCTCCCATTAGTGTCTTCTAGATGTGCTTCATGAATACCTTTTGTTTGCCCTCTTGAAAAGAATACTTCCACCTGCGTATCTTAGAATGTACCGTTGGTGCATAAATGAATAATGTTACATAACTTTCATGAGCGCATATCCAGTATTCATCTCTGTGGGTTTTACCTTTTTGGTACAAATGACCTTTATCTGCTCATGCTCAGACTGCAACCGTAAACTGGCTTATTTGATTGCTTTAACGTTCTACTCTGATCAGACCACCTCAAGAATGAAAGGCGAATTGGTCAAATTAGGGTTGTTGTTGAATACTTTTAGATGTAACTGTCAATATTTTAAATGGGGACAAATCAATTTTTCACATGCTTGAAAAATTACAAAACTTGGTATTAAAGGGTATGAATAATTTTGTTGTATGTATAGACGCATCAAATGTAGTAGTCAAACATTTTGTAAAATTTGAACTACACTCTGGGTCAGCCGGGTTTGCACTTTCCATGAAGAGGTCTCCAGGGACCTGTTTCACAAAGCGTTTTTTCAATGACAAATGACAAAATTCAGTGACAAATCTGCTGATAACCAATCAGAAGCAAGGATTTCAGTAGCTTATAACAAAAACTGTCATTTGTCATTGATGACAAGTTTTGTGAAACGCCCCCTTCAGCTATAATCTCTTGGAAATATTGACAAAAAAATTTCCCCTCCCAATTCTCGCCACATCCTTATTTTAGGGGTCACCGTTTCCCGAGTCTGAAGGCAACGCCATTGCAGCGGTCATGCAGTACGCAGTGGACGAGCTTGGCTTTGCGTACGATGACATCAGTCTGTTTGCCTGGTCTATAGGAGGATTCGCTACGTCATGGGCGGCCATGAATTATCCGCAGCTTTCATTTGTTGTAAGTTGCTTCTCGGTTTGTTTTTACCAAAGTGGAAGTGTGTTAGTTTGTTGCTTTAGGTTTTGCTGCTGATGGCGGACACCGTCTGTTTGAGGATGATAATAGAAATGAAAAGAGTTTTAAAGAAGCTCCTTGATATGTAGTGATGACAATGATGAAGATGGGGTTTATGAAAATGGTGATGAGGATGAGGAGGAGGAGAATGATCATGATTGTGATGAATATGATAATGATGATGATCAGTATCTGTTTTCAAACATAACATTGTTTATTTGCCATGACGACCATGGTTGCATCGGACATGGGGTTCACCAAATTTAAGTTTATCTCTTTATGGCCCAAATTTATAAATGACGATGTAACACTGGTTGAATTTCAAGCCTATTAAAGCCCCACTGCACTAATTTGGCCAGGAGGGATTAGACCTCACTGTAAGGTCACTGACAGGTGGTTATCTCATCAAATCAAATCTCAATTAACATAAGAAAAATGGGATCATGGGGGACCAATGGGCACCAATTAGGCATTGTTTACCCTATAGAGGGCACAGAAGTGCAGTGGGGCTTTAAAGTGACCCTTATCATCGTACTGCAAAAGCAACAGCGCCAGCTACGACATAGGTCTGAAGAATCTGCAGCACGGCAAGTTGAAGTTTACCAAAACAGATTGTTTTTTCACTGATTGTGAAGAAAGAACTATTTCTTTTCAAAAGTTAAATTTTTATTTTGATGATAACTTGACTTTTTTTATCTGTTTGTTTCCCCTTATAGATTGTAGATGCAACATTTGATGATCTTATACCTCTTGCTATAGCTAAGATGCCGCAAAGTTTGTGTGAGTAATTTCTATTCAGTCAAAACTATGTTATGATACGTCCATGAACTCGAAAAGTCTTCATGTTATGTAATGTTTGGTTATGTTTATTCTCTTGATGTTGTTCATTTCAATATTAATAAAGCACTAAAATATTTGTGATACATTGATTTAAAGCATACTGTTCCTTTCTACTACATGTTCATACATGTACAAAGAAAAAAGAAAGAATTAATATTTCTTGTAGTACAGTACTGTCTAAGTAAGAAGGAATGTTTACAGGCAAAGGTTCCAAAGATATTTAGGAACATGATTAGAAATTTAGCTTACAGTTATAGCTATTAAGTATATGTAGAACAATTTTAAAATGTATGGTAGTGCCTCAAATCAAGTCAATCGCTAAATATCTTTTTGTAGCAACAGGAAATCACGTTTTTGAAGTTTAATCTCTCTGAAGATTCGTAATCACATCCAGAAAACTGTTAATACTGTATACTGTGGTACCTGACTGACATGGCATTATAGAACCTGTGTATCAGTGATATACTTATCGATTTATTGTTGTTGTTTGTTTGTTTTTTCTTTAGCATATTTTGTTGCTTCAACAATAAAGACATACATGAACATGAAGATAGCAGACAACCTTAGCAAGTAAGTTGAAATAGAAAACACAATATTCATGGAACTTTAGTGGAAACATGAATGGAAAAATTATCATAATCATTACTGGTCAGATAAATTGTTGTTTTCATTTGCTGACAAATTTCACAGGCATGGTGTGGTTGATCAACAAACTGACACAAAGGAAAATGTTTTTAGATGTTTAGATGATAGCTAAGACTCTTTCTTAGCTATTTTCATTTGTTTTATTAATCTTGTTACTATTCTCTCTATTATGATGGGATAATTTTTCCGAAGTTTTCTGAAGAATTTCTATGTTTTCATGTCTCCTATTTGATTTTGTTTGATGCAGCTACAAGGGTCCCCTGAGGATAGTTCGAAGAACAAAGGATGAAATCATTATAACATCGTAAGTAGCTAAAGGCTCCAGGGAAAAAATTAATATTTATTTTGAAAATAACATTCTAAAATTTGTTTTGCATTGAACTCTATGCAAATTTACAGGGGCTCTTTTCTGATTTTATGGGGGGCTATTTTGGGCATTTCGGGGACTAATTCGCCCTGAGCCCCCATGTATTTTTTTCACTGAAAGGCTCGTTCAGATGTGATGCGGTAAATTGCCACAAAAAATTACAATGTTTTTTCCACTTGTAAATGAATGGCAACTGCAGGTATTAACAGAGGTTCTTCGCGTATTCACAGAGCTCAGTGCTATAAGATAGAGAAAGGAGATGCCTATTCACGTCTTTATGTCTTCATTAAAAGACCACCATGGTTTTGCCACGTCATATCTGAACACAACCTTAGATCTTAAAGTAACATGGTGTTAAAGATAAAGATCAGTTCTGGTCGTGCGATTGCATTGTGAAAGAAACGTTGTGGAATCGATCAGAAAAGGTTGATCATCTAGCATATAAGTATTGGTGTGTACTTCAAGGTTCTGGAATCATCAAAATGATAAGAAATACCGGTATGGCCCAGTCTTGGTAAAGGTACAAGCACTGTGCACAGGAAGATGTATATGGGACTACGCGAAACGTGCGCGATATCTATCAGGTTCAAATAGATATACTAATTTACCAAATATATCAACTAGTAGGCGGTTTCCCAGCAAAAATTGTATCATCACGTATTATTCAAAACATATTCTTTCACATGATTGGTAATAAGAGCTTCCATTTCAATTTTTGAGAGGGGGGCGTTTCCAAAACTGGTCTTTACCTTTTAACAGCTTCAAAATATTGAAAATAACATCCTTTCATTTATACTGTTCAAATTCTTTAAAGATTGTGATTTACTGGAGATGTATTGTTGCACTGTTTATTTGACTGTACTTCTAAATTTCTTCTAAGACAAGTTAATTCTTTGAATACTTTCCGAAGTTTGTAAAAGGAAATTTGGTTACAGTTCTCCAATTCGTTCAATTCACATTTATTACACATAAAAATGTTTAGAATATCCATGGCAAAGTTCATAAAGGAAATTCATTCAATTCAGCAATTATGTCAGATAAAATAATGTTTAGAAAAAAAATTGAATTGTAGGTCAATTGGAATCTATGTATGTGCTGTCTGAAAGAAAAAAGTTATTATCCTTCACAATCCCAAAAGGATGTATTTAAGATATTTTCCTTAAAACTCCTTATCCATTTTTTTATTTCAGTGAATTTCCTGATGTAGCATATAACAGAGGGAATGATCTACTAATCAAGATATTACAATCAAGGTAAGTTGTCTTGAGCATTCTCATCGCTAATAAAGCACATGTTTTGAACTTGTGTATATGATCATTTCAAGTGATTATTCTCTTCATCTATTATTGTTTGTTACTGTCAATTAAACTCTTCAATATCGCTAAGATTGTTGGGATTTGTTGTTGAATAATCACATGATAAATTGTTTACATCTACACCACATTTATTATAGTATTAGCAGATGTTGATATGAAACCATTGTTATTGTTGTTCTTATTTAGTTTTTATAATTATTTGAAACTAGATTTTAAAAATTCTGCAAGAGTGATGAACAATGCACAGAGCCAGATGTTGGTGGTTCAAATCTAAAAATTATGTGTGTATACCATAATGCATTTTGCATCTTCTTCTTCTTCTTCTTTTTTTTAAATTAAAGAATTTAATAAAGTGACAATAAACATGAATGATGCCAGTTTACATCAAACTCATCATGGCTTCTAAGGACTATTAACCCCTCAAATACAAGTTGTTTATGTGTATCATGAGACGTTTGTCACCTTTGAAATTTGTTGCAGATATCCGAAGCTGTTAGATGAAGAGGTGACAAAAGTTTTACGGCAATTCATCAGCATTTCAGATCAACTTAGCATGTGTAAGTAGTCTACCTATTAATGACATTTTTTTTCTGTGTATGTTGTTCAATAAAATGTAGTTAAAAGACTCCAGAAGTAGGGGAAAATGAGGCTATTTGAGTATAAATGTGGAAGTGCATGATTTTGATATTTCTCCGACATTTAGTAATTCATAAATATTTGAGCCAAGATTTGACTAAATTTAAGATGATGTAATGTTTGTTATCCCAGTGATTCAATGGCTGTTGTATTTAGTAATTGGATTAAAGTATAAAACCAACATTTTGTTTTGTGATTTGTAATATAACTTTATTGCCCAAATCCTGTTTCGCAATCTTATTGATAACATTGATATTAGGGGGAGATGATTCCACATAATTTAAGGATCAGACTTTCACCTCACGCTAAAATACAAATACTTGAAAGCATTCGTAAGCAAGAAAAATAACTAGGTTTTACACATACTGGGTGCTTTAATTGATCTCCCAGTCACAAACTTACATCAGCAGGGCCCCTGCGCAATATTAACATATTTCTAATATGAATATTCATAAGATCTGAAGTGAAAAGTATTCTTGTTTACTCTGTGGAGTGATCTTTGCATTTTCTTGTAAACGTGCATGTAATGCTTCCTTGGAGAAATTTCAATTATTTAAAGAGAAGGTTGAGTTCTGGGAAGAGGTGAAAAATAATTTGTGAGCGTTGTCATTGTTATTATGCAAGGGTGGAAGAACATTAGATTTAAACATGTTCCCTGAAAAACATGGCTGTTCAAATGCCTTGATATTCTAAATATGACATGAAAATCGTAAAAATCGGGGGAGGTTTTTTTCGCCATGTGCTCGTGTAGTCCCATATACATTATTCTGTGTACAGTGCTTGTAACTTTGCCAAGATTTGGCCAAATTTCTTATCATTTTGATGATTCCAGAACCTTGAAATACACACGAATATTATACTAGATGATCAACCTTTTCTAATAGATTCTACACCGTTTCTTTCACAATGCAATCGCATGACCAGAACTCAACTTTATCTTTAAACATATTTGTGGCTTACACCCAGTAAATAAGATCGATTGATCGATCTGTAATTGAAAAACAAGTCAGAAACAATCTTGGAAGCAGCGGGACTTGAACCTGCATCTACTGCTTGACGGGCAGCGACTCTAGCACCAGGCCATCACTATTCCATGATGCATTGTTGAGATATCTTTTCATTTTGTCTCTCTTACAGTATCCATGTATTCAGCGTTTGACGTAGAAGACTCCGCCTGCTTACGGGTTCTTAAAGACTATGCTGACAAGCACTCTACCAAGTTCCCCATGCTCATAGGTAATACAGTGAAACCTGCTTTTTTAATAGTGACCACCTGTATAGAAAGATCACCTGTCTATAAAGACCACATTTCTTGTCTCCCTTGAATGGTCTTGATATACAGGTTTTGCTGTACCATAGCATGTAAAGAAAGAACACCTGTCTATAAAGACCACATTTTCTGTTTCCCTTGAATATTGTTTTTCATTTGTGTTTTGCCATTGAAATGTGTACTAAATGAACCTCTACAAAATGAACCTCTACATAACAACCACCTGCCCATAAAGACCACTTGTCTTGTCTCCCTTGAATGGTCTTAATATACAGGTTTCAATGGACGATAGCATATTGAGAGAGATAGTTGTGACACGCCCACATGGACACGTTCAAAGGTCAATTCATGGAGCTTCAAATAGTTTCCTCCCATAGAGATTGTACTTGGGAAGAAACTACAGTGTATTGGGAGCTCCATGTATGGACCTTGATCACGTACATGTTGGTGTGTCGCAACTATCTCTCTCTCTCTCAATCCGCTATGGGTGATACCATCTTTTTCATTATCCTGACCAATTGAGATTGATTTTCTAGGCTTAACTTATTTTTAAGCCCTTGTGTGATAAGGTTCTAAAGCAATTTTTCAGTCATTGTAAAACTGCTTGCTGTCAGAGGATAGAAACGGGATTGTTAGGTCAGTGACTTCGAACAAAAAAGGGGATTTTCTTACAGAAATTTCTTGATGGATACTTTGGCATCTATAGACATATTAATTTTTCCCCCTCCAATCGAGGGGCCCTAGGTCTTGAGCGATTTTGTTGTGATTAGGATGATTGTGAAATTTACAATCAGAGTTTCTATTTTCTGCAGAATCACCCTGTCAGAATGGCTTCGGGAAAGTTTCAAATTTAATTCATATTTCAAATCACATAATACAATAAATACTAAGCCTCATTCTAATATGTCTGTGAATGGGATACTGCCTTTTTATGCTGTTTCCTATGATGATGTTGTTCAAAAATTATATTTGCTTCATTTTTTCAGGTGAAGACATGACTCATGCAAGGAAGGTGCAATTGACTTTGTACTTGGTGAGTTGAAAATACTTTTTTTATTAATTTGACATGATCTATTAATTTTAAAAAGTCTTTGCAGTCATAACAACTCAATTTTGATATTTTTTTGGAGCAATTATAATATCAATTAATAAATACTGAGATTATGTACAGCTTTATATATCTCATATTTATCAGAGAATGTTTGTTATTTTTTGGAGGATAACATAAAAACGTGTTGTCCACCGATCTTTCTCAGTTAAACTTTAGGGCCTGGGTGGACATAAAGGTCAGAGGTTATATCTACTGATCTTGCCATATAGGGATTTCAATAGCAATACATGTACCCGTACAATGTTTTGGATGTCATTTGTGTGTCGTCAAAAGTAAGTCTTATGATGATGATGAATAGATTGAAGATTATATAGGTCACTTAAGTTAAAAATCCTTCTACAATCATTGCTCGAAAACTGTAAATGTTGAAAGAACTGTTATATCCCATGTGACATCCCATGAATTCAACAGATTTTCTGTATTCTTTATCTTCTTCTTTGGTTTTTACTTTTCAGAGCACAAAGTACATGACAGACTTTGACTCCACTCACTGTTCCCCCCTGCCAGCATCTTACTTCCTGCCCCCATGGTCTCTGGACGACGAGATGAATTGATAGCCGCCCCACTCCCCCCCCCCCTTCCCCCTGGTTCACTCTCGGTGGCAAAACCTCGCCCCTCTTCCTACCCCCATGGACTTTGGACGACGAGATGAATGGATAGCCCCCTCCCCCGCCCCCCACCCTCCCCCTCCCTCCCCCTCCATTCTTGCTTCACTCTCGGTGGCAAAACCTCGCCCCCCTCTTAACACACTCGCCAGGATCAAGTACAGTACCATCTTACCCAATTTTGACGAGATGAAATCAGTGCCCCCCCCCCCTCCCCTTATTGCTTAGTTTCAGTCCCGCATTCGCTTCTCTAAGCACACCATGAAAGGATCTTGCTGAGATGAAATAGGGCTACCCTCTCTCCACTTTGGGTCACTATCCTTGCTTCTCTCAAATCACCCAGCATATTACTTCCAACCTCTGGGGGCTGTGGATAATGAGATGAAGTATAATTACCCCTCCCCCACCTCCCTCCCCTCCACTCCAATCACTGTCAGTCGCACATCCGACCCTCTAGCACGCCGCTGAAAGGATGTCGTACCTCAATGGACCGTTGTAATGAGATGCAAAGAGCAGCCCCTTATCCCTTATCCCTTACCCATTTCCTTGAGGGTTTGTATCATCAGTTTGCTGAAATAGTACGAAAATAGACTGGATCTAAGAGCTTCGTGTTGGGGCTGGCAGCATGCACAGAGACTGAGTAAAGCTTTATTTCTTGGGTTTTGACACGATTGTGAAGAGTAGTGCTTATCAATGAGATTTAAACCTATTGAGGCTTCATGCACGAATAAATATGATCCATTGACATGTCGTGGGATCTTTGTGTGTGCAATCTAGTTCTTCACTAGAAATAATAATGATGATTGTACAATATATGTAGATGACACGTCACCCAACTATGGATCACATGGTTCAAGTCCTGTTGCAACAATAACGTCCTTTGGCAAAGACATTAATCTACATTTGCCGCTCTCCACCTACGAGTTCAATAGATACCCAGAATACTCCCCAGGGTGTGGAGCGTGTGCACTATCATGTTCGGATTAGCAATTGAATCCTTTAACCGGGATGATCATAATTACAACATAAAGCGCTCAGAAACGTAATATCAAGCACTATCCGAACTTGAATATTACTATATATGAACGTGCATGGGTCAATAGGAGGATAAGCAAGAAATCAAGTGGAATACAATGTGCTTGATCCAAAGCACGTTCAGATATGGCGCGGTAAACCACCGCATAAAAGCAGCGGCATACTTATAACATGTAAATGAATGGCGTACATAATAATAATAATAATAATAATGAACGTTACTTGTATAGCACATATCACTAACACAAAAAAGTTCCTATGCTCTTAATAGGAAAGAAGGAAATAGAGATAGGGCAGAATAAAAATAAACATTTATGCCTGATATGGGAGTTGTTGCTACCTTGTTTGGCGTTCAACAATAAGGGATAGAGCAACGTCGATCTGGCGCTGCTCAGTGGCTGCCGGGCTCACGATCAATTGGGCAAAAAGAATTTCCGTTTTGGTTTAAGTCTACAGGATCACACAGAACTCGCTCTCAACTATCAATCATCATTATTTAATAAAATTTGGATTGGACTATTAGGCTATTATTATTATTATGATTACATGAAAAAAATTAATTACAAACAACGACAATGATATACATAGTATGCATGCCTGGTTGCTATCTGATTTTGCAAAAAGTAAAAATTTAAAGTAGAATAGATCCTGAAGAAGATGCATGTAAATTCTTTCAAAACAAAACAAAGTGTGGATTTGAAACTTTAGAACAGGGATATGATTAGAATTATATGAAATTTATGTTCTTTCCATGCAGATATTAATATGCAATACATATAAAGTTTGTCTGCTTTTGATATAAATGTAGTTATTTCTCTTCTTTGAGATACATTTAGTTAATGAATAAATAGAATGTGTTAAAACGGTGTTGCATGTAAATTATATGTGAAAATGGTAATGATATTTATTTGAGTCTTTTCTTTGATCATGTTTGGCTTATATATTGAAATTAATAAAAATTCATCTTTTTGAAGCCAGAAGGGCATTAACTCATATACATGAACAAAGATTTAAAGCCCTTCCGGCTCTCAACAGCAATATTTCCTCTTTGGTCATCATGGATGTTGACGTTTCGCTCAATTTTCAAGATTTTGCTGTATTTAAATATTCTGTCGAATTCCAGCCAAATGTGAACGATGCCAAATGTTGTCTCCGAATTATTATTATTTTGTTTTTGTTTGTTAATAAAGTGAGTCACTGTTCTGTATAAAGCTTTGAGAGAATCATTAACGAATATGTCATGTCACTCATAGAGGTGCATACTCTTGAAAGCTGAATGTATTTATCTGAATTTATGCAAAATAGGGCCAAATTTTGATGAAAGATTCTCTTGCCGAGGCGCTATCAGTAGACACGCTTTTCTAGATGATATCGTTTGCATGGAGGCACTTGCTGCTTCCCTAGCTGCGCTGTTGGTTGTCGCATCGGTTCCTCAGTCTGCGAAGTGGAAATTAGACATTGGGTTACGCACTGTTGGCAAGTTGACCAAGAGATGGCGCTGTGCAGTAAACTACACTAGGACAGAAATTTCATCAGTTCAGTATTGCTTTACAAGACCTGCATTAGAGCATTTTAAGTTGCTTTTTTTCATAAGAGTGTGTTTCATTTGTATGCCTTGGCTCATACATGTTTGTACAATGTATATAGTACAATGTTTATTTGTGATTGTATATTAAAAGTAATACGGAAAAAGAATGTCATGAATATATGGATCTTATCTACGTGTGATTTTTGTTATCTATGGGCGTAGTTCTTATACTATATCCAATATTTATTTATCTATTTTTTAAAGGTATTTTCTCATCTTTTCTAAGTATGTTAATCAAATTTCACAGGAGATAAAGAAAAATAGAGCCAATTAGTTTCATGATAATCTTGGGGTTTTAACTAAAATATCAAAACTCTGTCACCTTACTTTAGGGACTAATTACTACCAATATTGATACTATTACTAGGACAAGTTACATTTAAGTTTTACAGGGCAGATACAGCACAACGAGATTGGAAATACAATATTCAGGAGAAACCATGTTTCATGTTCCAGAATGGGAATATTTATTAATATACAATTATATAAATGTAAAAGATATCAGTATATCAAGATGATAGAAACATTGCTTTTGAAGGTAAAGTGCTTACATGTACATGAGGCATTCATCTACAAATGAATACAATGTACAAATTTCAAAGGAATCGATCACACAAAATTATACTGCAATGTAAAACATAAATAGCGCCCGATACATCACACGTGGATACATCAAGAAAATTCTCCTTTAATCGATTCCAGTTTATGCACTTCAATCATTGCACCACAATACATTGGACGGAACTGCTTTATTTCATCTCGTTTTCTCTTTGATATTAATATATCATGATCAAGATATGGCCAACTGAATATTCAATTTATGAAAATAATTGAAGGAACAGAAATTCCTGTCCAAGTAAAAACTATATTCTAAATCTCTGCACAGATATTTTCAAACATTAAAGGGGAAGTCCACGCTGAAATTAAGTTAGTTTTAATAGGAGTAGAAAAATGAGAGAAACAAGTCAGTGAAAGTTTGAGCAAATTCCGATTAAAAATAAGGAAGTTAGGATTTTTGAAGTTGTGATCAATCAAACACAAATGTGCAACTCTATGACGTATCATGCGAGCTCAACTTCCATTTGCTCAGTACTAAAAAAATCTAAAATTTTCATTTTCCCTCAAGAAAAATTTCAACCATACATGCACCCTAAATATAATAATTGCAAATATGTTTCTATACTCCCCCTGCAAGGAACAAATATATTCCGTCATCAATAACGAAGAAAACACGATTTTATGGAATATTATGCACAAAGCAAATGAAGGAGAGCTCGTATAATAAGTCACAGAGTTGCCAATTTGTATTTGATTGATCACAACTTCAATAATTCATAACTTTCTTATTTTCATTCAGAATTTGCTCAAACTTTCACTCACCTGATTTTCTTATTATTCTGCCCCTATCGAAACAAACTTATTTTGGGGGTGGACTTTCCCTTTAATTACAGATTGAATTGAGAGCAGGGAGCAATATCCGAGCAGATTACAACTTCTAAAATACTTTATGCATTCATCTAAAGTATTCTATTATACCTTTCAAATATTACATTTTTAATCGAAATATTAAATACATACACCAGCTGCATAAAACTTGTATCCTTATATTATCTTATTACAAATAAATACCAAGTTGTCTATAAGAACAGGAACAGAATAAATAATTTATTTAGATATATAGTAGGAGGTAAAACTGGTCACTTAAATAATATTTCATACTTATAATGATCACTATGGGTATACTTGAAATATAACTAAATTCATGATTCTAAATTGTTTATCTCTCACTTCTATGAATGCTGTTTTACATACCGGTAATATATTTACTTGTATCATGAACCTATAAGTTGAAAACTAAGCTATAAAAATAAGAATTACGTGCTCTATTTATATATTATAGATCCATTTCTTAATCTTTCAATGTTCTTTCTCTCTCTCTCAATCTACTTCTACATTTCCCTTTTTCTTCTTCTCTTTTCTTTCAGTATGTTGCATAATCATTATCTTGCACTATCTCTTTTTACTAGACTATATGTACATGTAGCATTCTCTCCTACATGTATTACTGTAATTAACGGTGTATAAATCGCACCTTTTTGCCGCCGAAAAAAATTCAAAGTCTGGGGGTGCGGTTTATACACGGTACACCCCAATTTTTTTTAATTTTTTTTTTAAAGTTTCGATTTTTGCCCCTCCACCTGGCGCTATGCCTGGCAATGTCTCCCAGCTCAGTAATCGGTGTGTTGACTCACCACTCGGACACTAGAAAAACACTCAAATTTGTCTGTCAAATTTGTCTGTGATCTCAATATGTAGTTTATAATAATAATAATTCCTCCAATTTTTCTTCTATTACATGGTGTACCACAAGGTTCTATCCTAGGTCCTCTACTGTTTTTTAATTTAATTAATGATCTTACACATCCAGCTGCACCTCGTAGTTAAATGAAAGGCCTTCCCGCATGGGTTTTTTTAACACGGACCAGGCTTGCTGCCCACAGAGTCGGCAAAAAAAAAGGGGTGCGGTTAATACACGAGGGCGGTTTATACAACGTTAATTATGGTAACTCACTTTCTAATCCTGTTTTTCTCCCATGCTCTCAATTCTCAACTCCCTTCCGGCCCTCTTCCTCTTTCCCATTCTTCTCCTTCTCCTCTTTCTGATTCTTTTCTCTCCCTCCCTCTTCCCTATCTCTCTCACTATCACACACTCTCTCTCTCTCTCTCTCTCTTTCTCTATCTCTCTCTCTACCCCTCTCTCCAATGAAATAATACATTAGAGTAGCTTCAACGTAAGAACTGAGTTAACACTACAATGCCTACTACCTCAACAACCCTGGAATGTTCTTATCTTTAATACTTATACTTAGAAATAAATTGTGCTCCCTGAGGACATATACATAGAATATATTTTACAACTCACTCCTAGATCCTAATCAAATTATTATGTGTGAAGAGGCAAGTGCGCCTATCTCTGTGTACACGTTAGAGTATTAAAGCCTATTAAACTTGGGGTTTATTTGTCAGCGGTGACCCGGCCAAAACAATCTTGAAATTAATTATTTTTACATCAAATAAAGAGGATCTAGGAGTTTCATTGTACAATGTATAAAACAAACTTTGAATGATGCACGTTTCGTTCATTGGTTACAGGATCTATCAGCTCTTGTTGAGGCTTTTATGCACCTCATGTACTCAGCCTGATGGCTTAATTTGTACGATAGATGCGCACAGCCTTGACTCGAGTGCGGATAGACCGTATAATGAACTTATGCGCATGCATCATTTGCATACTATATAAAACCACAAACCATCATGAATTGTTTATGCATGCCCGAGAAACTTACATCCTGCAAGTTCCAATGTTGTGTTATAGCGACAATAAACTTTTAGCAATTCTGGACCATTCACAAAACTTGCCAAAGATTAATTCTCTTGAAAGCTTCTGCTTTTGAAGAACACTACCTGAAAACCAAACCACTACAGTGACATCAACTCACAAAAGCTATGACGGTATATTCAAACTAGATGGAATTTCGACTGCGCGCAGTCGAAAATGATGCCTCCGTCATAGAGCAACTTTACAAACCAAAACAGAAGAAATATTTTTAAATTCAAGTTCAATTGTAATCCATTAACAGGTTCTCAGAATATCGTGATTACAAGCAATTTCTCACGTACATATATGACCCTTTGATCTTTGACCTCATGACCCTAAAATCTACTCAGTTCATTGGCTCTGCAAGATGTCCTGAGTTAATAGTAATCCATCCGTCAGTTCTAATGAGAATGCGTTCACAAGCTATTTTTGCATACATAATGAGCCCATGACCTTTGACCTTTGACCTTATGAACCAAGAATCTACTCACTTCATTGGCTCTGCAAGATACATGAATGATCTTAGTTTGGCAGGAATCCATCAATCTGTTCTATTGATAATGCGATCACAAGCTATTTTTGCATACATAATGAGCCGCATGACCTTTGACCTTGACCTCATGACCCCAAAATCTAATCAGTTCATCAGCTCTGCAAGTAACATACATGACCTAATGTTGGCAGGAATCCATCAATCGGTTCTCGAGATAACGCGATCACGAGCTGTTTTTGCATACATAATGTGCGCTGTGACCTTTGACCTTTGACCTCGTGACCCCAAAATCTAATCAGTTCATCGGCTCTGCAAGTAACATACATGACCTAAGTTTGGCAGGAATCCATCAATCGGTTCTTGAGATAACGCGATCACGAGCTGTTTTTGCATACATAATGAGCCCTGTGACCTTTGACCTTTGAACTCGTGACCCCCAAAATCTAATCAGTTCATCGGCTCTGCAAGATACATACATGACCAAAGTTTGGCAGGAATCCATTAATCCGTTCTTCAGATAACGCGATCACGAGAACGGGACGTACGTACGTACGTACAGACGTACGTACGTACAGACGGACGGACGGACGGACAACCCGAAAACATAATGCCTCCGGCTACTTCGTAACGGAGGCATAAAAAACAAAATTAAGGTACCCGGAAGTCTTTTCCAAACTTCCTTTCAAAATGAGTATCTAGAATATCCTATCACAACTAAAATTGAATTACATTAAAAATCAAATTTTCAAAATACCAAGGCAAATAGAACACTGAATTACTCAGGAACCTAATGCATCATTGAAATACCATGGTAATTTTGTTCTAAATTTATTCTCTTTTGAAATTACCAAAACAGTGATTTTGAGGAAGAAGATCATTTTAAATCATCATTATCTGTGTGAGAAATATCACATTTCTCTGATTCAGTTTCATTTTCATATACTGCAAACCAATGACACTGTCTATATGACAGTTCGTTCTAAATTTTAACAGAAATCATACAAAAACAGGCAAAATCTTGGAACTGTTAAATTTCATGATTAGGTAGCTAGGAAACAAGTAAAATAATCTTTGGAGGAGATAATAATTTTGTTTACCTAGCAATATGTTGGGAAACCATAACAATGCTAATAATCCGGTAGGTTTTGTGCCATATTAAAATGTTCCTCTAGAAGATGGTTCTCTAATGATGATGGGTGTGGTCTTGGAGGAAGGAGCGATGGTGTCGCCTAGCAACAGGGGGTGACATCATCCCCGAATGACCACTCCTTAATCTGGGGCCATGGAGGGCGTGTCTAGAAGATGGTTCTTTAATGATGATGGGTGTGGTCTTTGGAGGAAGGAGTGATGGTGTCACCTAGCAACAGGGGGTGACATCATCTCTGAATGACCACTCCTTAATCGGGGGCCATGGAGGGCATGTCTAGAACAGGAAGGAAAAAAAGAAGACGATAATCAGGATGAGATGTTTGATAAGATGGCAACAACAAATAACAGCGGACAATATAACTACTGCTATTAACTCTGTTTTCCAGACTATGATTATTTTAGGTATTTCTAAAAAGGCCCTCATTTAATAATTTCCAAATTGTTAATATTTTTTTTTAATTCTGCTACAATGTTTTGACTTTGACAGCTGTTTTAATTTCTGTATACCTATTTTTTTCCTTTTTTTCACGACAAGAGACCTGTGGGAAAAAAAACTTGTTAAGTTGGATGAACACCTGAATTTTTAAGACCGAGAGAGAGATGTGTGACAGTCGCTTACTAGACGGGCCGCTTCTACAAGATTCTACAAGCTTCTACTGTATTTTTTATCAATGATGACAATATGACATACATTTCAATGATGAGAAGATAATTAATTCATCAAAGATATTTCCAATACCATCCAGTGTCCAGGCAGAGAGAGAGAGGGAAAGATGTGTGAAAGTTGCTTACGATTCGTGTTTGTGTGAATAACGGAGAGAGGCGAGCTTCTACAAGATTCTACAAGCTTCTACTGTATTTTATATCAATGATGAGAAGATAATTAATTCATCAAAGATCTTTTTACTACCGCCCAGCATCCAGCCCGAGAGAGAGATGTGTGAAAGTCACTTACGATTCATGTTTGTGTGAATAACGGAGGGAGACGGGCTTGGGGTCTGATTCTTTACCACAGTCATTGCAGAATGGAGCTGATTTAGCACCTGGAGATGATGACAAATGTGAAAGGGCCTCAAGCTTCCGTACAAAGGCACCTGAACAGAAACAATAGAAAGTCAGTTCACATTTGCTATGTAAGGCGGACTCTGCATATTTAGAAACACAAAAATAACTAAAGGGAACTCACTCTTAAAACAAATTTTTCCAAAATTCAATCAACCTCAAGATTCTTATTTATATCCGTAATTAAAATGGAAACTATTTTCCTTACAAACTGAAATTCACATTAGAGCTACTACATGTATCTCAAAAACGCCAAATGACTACAACGTATATCATTTGTAAGAAGTTTTCAAGAATTGTTCAAATCTCTTCATGAACTTCAAACTTGTGCATTGCAAGAAAACAATATGACAACAGTTATCAAAAGTGCTGATTCAGTGATTTTGATATTGTGAGTAATCATTACCGCAGGCACAGACTCTAATTCAACACTTTACCACAGATATTATTTAAAGCCTTGAGCAGACCCTAGCTAACTCTGTCAACTCTCTGGCTGCATGTGTCAAATGTACAGCAGCTATTCGTAAAGAGTATTGTTTGTTTGTTTGTGTTATTGTTTCACATCTCACAAAAAACAGTTTACATATTATTAAAGGTCAGCAAGATAAAGCATAATGACAAAAAAACAATGATGGCAGTAAATAATCAGTAACATGAAATATTATGTAGTACGCTGGCAGCATAGTCTCACACTCGCAGTGCAGACACTGTCATTAAACTAAAGCAAAGCGACTAACACGGGGGGGGGGGGGCTTGAGTTAATACCGGTATTAAAGTAGAAAATGGTACAAACAGTTTTGTGAAGGATGCCAAAGTGTGAGAGCCGACGGGAATGGGGGGGGGGGGCAAGGGGGAAGGAGTGGGGCATATATCATGAGGGATTGAGAAACAACAATAAAATCACATCAAACCATTTCATTCCGACAATCAATTAAGACATACATCATAACATACTTCCTATTTCCTGTGTGAGAACATATTACTTGCTCAGTGAACGGGACCTTTTCGTTTTCAAATCTGAGGACCAAATAGAATGAGCAAACTAGATGATTCAAAGCTAAACACTATACATTCCTATCAGTGAGGGTGACGTTACATGTAATAATTATAGTGAGAACATAATAAAAACAAAATATCCTACCACTTTGCTTATTGTGGTGGTGGTGGAAAGTGATAGAAAACGAACTTAATATTCTTGTATTTTCAGTATGTCTTCTCCTCCGTCAGTGACCAAATGATAGAGAACGATGTTGTGTTCACGATCATTTCCAATTTTGATAATCATTATGATAATCAACATGCCTTCTTTTTCTTCTTTTTTGCCATGTTAACGAGGAATATGGCTGTCATCAAAAAAGGTCTACGGCAGTAGACTAATAAACCTTCTAATACAAAAAAAATATGATACGTAACTATTGAGATATGTCTAATCATACTATTAACTGAAAAGAAATACTCAGGAAATCACGACTAGCACTCTTAAAAAAAAAATTAAAAAACAAGCATAATTGAAAAAAATATTTATGGTTATTAAAAGCTGATATGAGGTATTAAATAAAGCTTTAGTATTATAAGTATAAGTTTTATTGACAAATCTCAAGACCACATAGTTTCATTGTTAGCTCTACAAATAAAACAAAGTGGTGAGTAACTTACAGTATTAGAAAATAAGGTAGCACTGCTAATTGTTATAAAAACAGAAAATTTTAGTTGGAAAACTATAATCTAGCCTTTAATTAAAGTGTTACTGCTTTGGAATAAGACTGGTAGTTATCAATCGCACAATCAGCTGTACGATCATTTTCTGGACTGTTAGCTCTACAAATAAAACAAAGCGGTGAGTATAACTAACAGCTACTGTTAACAAAATTAGCTAATAAGATAGCAATGCTATTAAATTGTTATCAAAATAGACAATTAGTTTGAAAACTATAATAGCCTTTCAAGTGTTACTGCTTTGGTAAATAAATGGTAGTTTTCAATCGCACACAGCCTTACGATCAATTTCTGGACTAGTATAACAGCGTGCGAGCCTTAGATTGGCCGGTAAGACTACAAAATGAAGATGAAGAAAGATTGAAGGACATACATGATTTGTGAGAAGAGTATCTCACAATGATATAAACTAAAGGGAGATAATGACACTATGAACTAAATGTACATGTGAAGAAGTTTTTAAGTATACTGTGTGAGGAGATATATATCTCATAATGACACATGTATAAAACTTTGAGTTAAGACTATGAAATAAAAATGAAGATCATTTATGATGTTTGATGAACGGATATATCTCTTAATGAGTAGTGCAATACTCTTGATAAGCTATATACTCTATTTGTGGAATGAGAGGATGGATGTGAAGATGATTGTGAAACAAGATGTTCTTTTACAAGGAAAATGATACATAGTAAAAATGGAAAACACAAATCATGAATTGCAGACATGTAAAATGAAGGAAAAAAAATTACAAATGCGGGGTCACTGTTTCAATTTGGAGAAAGAGACAAAATGTCACAAGATGGTTTGATGTAAATGATACAAAAATCAAAAAGACTGAAAGTCATGAAAATGGAAATCTAAAGTATGAAATTGGTTGTAGGTTACAAATTTGAATACAGTATGTCTACAAAATGAAATGATTGATTGTATTAAAATATGAATAATGTTGTTAAGATCGTATCATCTGCCGAAAGCTCGAGGGGAATCAACTCATATCCTGTGACTCAGAGTCGACGCCCTTATGCTTCTCAACAGACAATATCTTCTGTTAAGAGCCAGAAGGGCGTTAAACTCTATAACAATTAACTTCCCTCTTCAAAATATGTTTGGAGCCCGCAGTAATCATCTCTCAATAATGATAATTTTGAGATCCAGATTTTCTGCCTTCAGCTGTCCTCCGTAGAGCGTCACATGCGAGACACACAGCCACAAATTGCATTTTACGCCTTTCCATGATATCTATATGATTTTTCAGCAAATTATTCGTGTTTTTTTTAAGAGAAAATCTTTCCATCCATATATGATTTGTCCATAATTATCAGTTGTCATGAATGTTCTTTGGGTGACTACTTTAATGTCCTTGTGGATCTGGGCACACAATATTTTCTATTAAAAATGTAATGAACATCACAGAATTACAGGTAGATGAATGCACACACAAAATCACTGTTCGATGGAATTTTCAAAATACTTTGATGGAACACTTACTTCTGTCTTGTAAACTGGCAAGCGTGTTTCCCCTGGGAAGGAGAGGGGTGGGTAGGTTGACCGGCTGGGTGCGGAATTGGGTGGGGATGAACTGGTAACTATTGGCCCCGCCCCCAGACTTCTTGTTGCTAGGGAACTCGGGGTCATAGGTCGATGTCTGAGCGCTGGACGGAGGGGGCATGTTGTGGGGGCCAGGGGCTACTAGTCTTGCTAGATTCTTCTTAAGGGTGGGCCTGTTAACATAAAGACAATTTAGACGGTGAAGACTTGTTCAGATAAGGCACGGTGAACCGCCACAGTTTTTTTACATGCAAATGAATGGCAACTGCCCGTATTCACTGAGCTCTGTGTGTTACAAGATACAGAAATATGATGTATTTTGCACTTTACGTCGTCATCATGAAGAAAAAAAAAGCCACCAAGGTTTTGCCATGTCATATCTGAACAAGGCATAAAGCAGGGAAGCCAGTGAGAATTGATCGGAGGGCTCGAAAACCCCCTAGAATGAGCTATCATGTACACAAAAAAGCATTAACTATCATGGCTTGAAAATAACTTGTAAGGGCCTGAATTCAGGCTTTTGCCTGAAAGCTGGTATCCCTGATAAAAGTTTCTAAAACAAATGTGTTTTATTTTGTTTGAGTAGTTTTTTTTAAAGGTTTGATGGCGGAACTTGATTTCCATCACCATATGAAGGCCACCTGACGCTGTCTATAGTGGTCACATATATAAATTGCCTCCCTCTATAGGAGGAAACGTGTGTTAATGAACCTGTCTAGAAAGGCCAACTGCCTACAATGGCCCCTGTTTGTGTTGCCCATGGGTGGTCTCAATCGACAGATTTGACTTTGACTGTAACTGGGAAACCTGAAGAATGCCACAATTTTTGTTTTCCTGGGGGGTGTTTCACAAAGATCATAAGTCGAACTTAACTCTAAGTTTGACTTAAACATTTTAGAGAGCCATTTGTAGCCTTAAAATAAGATATATTCAAAAGCAAAAATTCAAGTATTTTAGACTTTTCATAAATTCCACATCAAGAACACGAAATCTCCTTGACGATAGAAAATATGAATGATTTGAATCAACATTTATGCCTTTTAAAATAAACTTATACAGTATATTTTCAAACATGCTAACAGCTTTCCATAAGTCCAACTCAGAGATAAGTTCAACTTTGGATCTTTGTGAAACACCCCCCCTGCTTCCTTACCGATGGCTTGAGATGAAGGTATTGGTTCTCTGATAGAAGGAGCCGTGGTCAGCTAAGATGCTCCGTGATGGCAAGGCGTGATCCATCAGTGGGTTCCTGCATAAGAAATAATTAGTCAACTATTTTCAATCGAATCAAACATCTGATTAATCAAAGGAATTGATGAGATGCTGCTTATAAGTACGGCTTGCATGGTGATGTAGATATACAGTAGGTTTACAGTTGCACCATGTGAGAGAGAGGGAGGATCGAGGATTGGGGAGACCTGAAAAGAACTCTCTCTGTAATCTTTGTTTCTGGAGTGTGTGTAGTCGTGAAAAGGACTGTTGGTATTCTTGAAAAAGACTGTTGGTAATCTCTCTCTCACATGGTGCAACTGTATACCTACTGATTGATTGTTGAAAATTGAATGAGACTAGCATGGTTATGTCAAAAATTCATCCTATATCACAAGTAAATTTAACAAGATAAATGGTGAAGATCAATTGAAAAGTAAGTCTTCACCTGCTTCCATCAGCTAACAAAATGGACTGATGCAGTCAACACATACTATATATGAACAGGTATCCTCTAAACAATGTAGCAATCTAGCCAAAATAAAGAGTGAATGATTAATTGATGAAAAAAATATTCCATAAACTCCCTAGGGATTGGAGATTGTGCACACATTGTGTGCGGGCAAGCACTTAATCCAATGACCGGGGTAATAGTATATTTGTAAAGTGCATAGAGACATTGTATCAAGCACTATATAAAGCTAGATATTATTATTATTATTATTATCATTATTATACTCAGATATAGGTCAATTCATGACATTCATGATATAGCTCACAGAATCTTACCTGGAGAGGATATCCCGTTTGAGTCCCTTGTTGATGGCAGAGAGTGATTTATCTCCTCTGGTGCTGCTATTGCTGTTGTGGTTATTGTTATCATCAAGAAGACTAGGTGCTCCACTGACCATCCCGCCCGCTTCGTCAAAGACATCGTTATCACTGTCGCTAAACCCAAACCTATCGACATCATTCCAAGAGCCTCTGAGGGATCCGACGTCCCTGGGCGACCTGTCAGGCAGCTGGTCCGGTAGCTTCTCCACGTCGTTGATGTCCTCTTGGACAGATGACTTGCGCCTCATCGGATGCTCCTTCTTCTCGGCAGAGTCGGGTTTCTCTTGGTAGACGACACACCCATTGGCCATCAAGGTGAAGTCTTTGTTCTCCCCAGCACCGGATGTTGGATTGTTTGAGGTATTTGAGTTCTCCTGCAACCTGAGGTCTTGCATGGCAAGGGAAGGGTTGAACGATAGGCGGTTGCCGTGGGCCAGAGACTCAAGCTGGCGCTGCTTCTTCGAATTGGAATCCTGCTTGCTGGCATGGTGCAATCGACCAGTCCTCTGAGGAATATGAGACGACATGACGTCTCCGGGATACTTCAAACCTTCATGTTCCACTCCTAGGGCAGTCTGTTGTCTCTTCATGGACATCGAAAGACGCATCAAGGCCCTCCTGTCCACACTGTCCGCAGGGAAGTGCTCTAGGATTCCTTCGCTAGGCAAACCTTCTCCATGTGCTCCAACGGGATGCTGCTTTCTCCTGTCTCTCTTTTCAGAAAACACTTTGTCGTCAAATGTAACGTCCTTCCGAGACACCTTATGCTTTCTCCTGATCTCGTTTGATTCCGCCGAAGCAGATTTCTCAGTAGCGCCCTCTCTGTGAAGCGCATCATCATCGCTGCAATCCTTGTAAGATACGGTGACACTCAAGAATTCTGGCTCATCCTTTGGCTCACTGTGTCTACTTGGATTCACTGTGGTGTGGTTTGAACCAGCGACCTGCCGGTGTGTAAGTCTTTTCCACTGGTCCTCCTCAGACCACTCTGAGGACTCTTCTCCTGTAGATGATTTCTGACCTCTCTCCAGCATCTTCAAAGCGGCGATGTGACGATTCTTACGGGCATCATCCTGAAAAAAAGAGGAGCAGAGAATGGTAAGCCGTTTTAAATATGAACGGCATCTTCTCATACTATTAAAAGAAGATCAACCTTTTTCATTCAACAATCAGAATGCATTCCCTTATCTGTCTATCATGCTTTTCTATCATAAAACACATCACGTTTACAGGCTATGAAACTCGGATAAACATTTTTAAAATTATAGTGATTTTGAAAGGCCTGCATGTAACTCTAATGCTAATTGTCTCTTGGTTTCAATTTATATCAAAGAAATCTGCTTGATGTCTTATTCCTACAGCTCGCACAGAATTGGATAGTCTAAATGAAATATAACATGTGACTGAATGTAACACAAGTATCAGTGCAACAATAATCAATTGCACCCGCCTGTAGAGGTGTCATGGTTTAGCAGATATGTCACCGGACTGTGAATCTCATGGATTGCATGGTTTGGGATTCGAGTCCAGCCGCAGGAACAAATGTCTTTTGGCAAGATATTAATCCACATTAGCCACCCTCAACCCAGGTGAAGTAAATTGGTACCTGGTACGAAGAAATTCCTTGAATGCTTAAGTGCCTTTCATGGTAGTTCAGCTAAAGTCGGGGACAATAATACAATTGCAGGGCCCTCAGGGAGATCAGTATTAATACTGATGTAGCTACCCTGGGTTTAATAACAAGACATATTATCATTATTATTATTAATATCATCATATCAATAACGGATCATCTTACCGTGCTCGATTGATGAGACTCCCTCTGTTTCCGCGCACTACGAACTCTAGATGACCTCTTTTTGTGATTCCCACTCCATGAGCTGGATGCAGCTACAGCATTGACATGAAAATCAAAAAAATCTTAGAAAAATTGGAACAAATGGTAAAATATAATACTTATCTTCCAAGTGTAAGTATAAGTATATAATTTATTTTCCATATCAGGTAAGTTCCATTTCCGGTGGTTAGTAATACAATATAAACATAATTCCATCAGAAATAGCTTGTATGGAGTGCATTGGTCAATAGGAAACTGAAATTAGAGTGATATAAATGTACAAGTAACAATAGTATCATAGTAATTGTCACAAATGTTAGAAGTTGTTGATACCCTAAAACAATTGAAACACACATTATTTGATTAGAAGTACCAAGGATCATGGTAAATAAAAAAACTGAAATTAAAGCTACACAACTAGTAAATACTTACAATACTTCCATCTATCTATGTTAGAAATGGTTGATTCCTATATCATAATCATACCAATAGCAATAGATTTGATATTAATTGTTGTATATTCACCTGATATGGGTCTTGAGATTGATGTATCAAAGCTTGCAGGGGAACTCCCTGGCTTCAACTATTGGTGAAAACAAAAAATGAAGAAAAGATTTATACCAAACGTGTTTTGAGATGTGTTGCTAGGTTATTTCATGATCAAATACTTGTGAATCCTTAACAAATTGTCACTTCATAATTATGGTTCAAAATTCAAAGGAAGACAAATCAGCTGACCACTACTTGCATAAAAAAGGTGCTTTTATCTGCTTTTACATTTTATATATTTAATCAGAGGTTAGCACCATTAACAAGAAGAATTTATCTATTTTTCATGAGGTAGACACAGTAAGCTGGGCTCTTACATTGGGTGTTACAGAACATTTTCTATAAAACATACTGTCAAAAACAAAGCTCCTGTCATACGTCTTTTAAAAAATGAACAATCAAACAATTGTCAAAATGCCTGAATTTTAGAGACTAACTTGACCTCTGACCCCTGCGAAGAGAGATAGACACTGCGTACGAGCATCCTTTCTACAAAAGTGACCACTATACACAGGTTTTACTGTATACTCACATGATGTTCTCTCTTCTTACTGTGCCTTGAAAGAGATCGAGGATGTGATCTTTCCATGGCTTTGTCTGGAGAAAAAAATTGATAAAATTACCCCAACTGAAAATAAGCTTATAAAAAAAGAAGAAGAATTAAGACAGAAAAAGGATCTTCCAAATCAAAGATATCATATATAAAGAAATTTAATTATAGAGTACCTCAGCTGCATTCATACAGTTACACTGATGACAATTTCTGTGAAATGGGGCTCAGATGTACACATTGGGGAAGTCTTTACCAGTTAATTTGCGTCTTGTTTAAATAATATCCCACTATTTCCCAAATAGTGGGCTAATTTGCAACTGTCAGAGCTACTTTGTGATGAGCGTATCGGTCTAGTGAAGACGCAACTTCGAGCTTCTGGATAACATCCCGAGTCTGAAAAATAGCGGGTTATTTGGCAAACTCGAGCTGATGAAGACAGGCCTTTTGAGACTTACTGCTTGGCTTTGCTTCTAAGGATACTTTGGTTGGGTGAGAGAAGAAGACTGGGGCTGTAGACTGGACATTATCTGGATGAACAGAAGAGAAAACAGTGAAACATTACTAAATTTTTGCATTTGCCTTTGGCTTTGACATCTCAAATTCTCTTTATTTTGCTCTATTAATTTTTTTTTTTCTTCAAGAAATTACCCTACCACTTTCAACCCATTGTTTGTTTCAATATTTGTATATTTTTATTTTATCATTGATATCCTCACTGCAACTTGAGATTCTTTTGCTACTAACCCTCTTAATTCCATATCTTTGTATATTTTGTAGCAATATTTATTTTCTTCTCCCCCTTCTTTAACACAACCTTCTGTATACATTTCTATATAATTTTTTCAACATGTGTATGCATTTATTTTTAACTGTTTGAATCGTATTTATAATGGAATTATGGAATAAATGCCCTGAACTAATTAACATTATCTGAACATTGAGAAAAAAGTGAAACGTTTGGAATCGCCTCTGTGGTTTCCATTTTCATACCTTTGTAAAATAGAACGCATCGTTCAAAAAACTCTCTCACCATATACCAGGACTAAAAACACAATGACTACCTCTACTAGTACAACATTTATTTTATTGGAAATAATACACCATTCTCTTGTATCTCTTCTGACAGTTTTTTAAGAAGAAAAAAAATCACTTACATTCATCCTTTCCAGTTTTCTTCTTCACTGGGTCACTCTCACATTTGCCTTCACTGGTCACAGCGATCACCTAAATAAAAGAATCATAATAATAATAGTAATAATAACAATAACAATAATAACAATAACGACAACAATAATAATAATAATAATAATAATAATAATAATAATGATAACAATAACGACAACAATGATAATAATAATAATAATAATAATAATAATGTTAATACTAATAACAACAACAACAAAAACAATAGTGTGCCTTCCTTACGCAGGAAAGCCTCATTGGTATCAAAACTATTTTCCCTACTGAGGGCCCTGCAATCAAATTCATTCATATACTTACACACAGAATAAACATCGTTTTGGTTCCAAACAGACAATATATGAATTGTATTTTTGCTGATACCTTCCTTCTAAAACTACTACCACTACTTCTTCAATTTAGTAATCTTAACAACCATATAGTTGACTTACCGTAAAGGTATACTCAGTATTAGGAGTGAGATTCTTGACGGTGAAGCTCAGATCTCGTCCAGAGTAAACCATGTATTTATGAAATCTGCTGCTTTTCCTTCTAAAACTACTAGTACTACTACTACTATCGTTTCAAGTTAGTAATCTTAATAACCATATGATTGACTTACCGTAAAGGAATACTCAGTATTAGGAGTGAGATTCTTGACAGTGAAGCTCAGCTCTCGCCCTGAGTAAACCACTTTACCGTTCATGGTGACTTCAAAACGGTATATCCTTCCTAAGGGGTAATCGGGCGGGGCCCAGGTCACGTGGATTTGACTCCGCCCACGTGCCGTCAGCGTCGGTTTGCTAGGTGCGTGCTTCCCTGAATAGGGTAGAGTTACAAATAGCAGATGAAATAATCAACGATTTGTCACAAACCAAAAAGACAAAGACTTTGTTAATTATACATCCCCTTTCAATGGCAGTATAACAACAAAATAATCCCCTTTATATCCAAATTAAAGTAAATTTCAACAGCTATAAACTATTGTACTTCACAAAATTATATATTCTAATATAATAAAATCTTGCAACCTCTATCACTGTGGTCTGCTTTTGAAATTATATTATACAATTATATAAATACAAAAAATGTGGAGTATTAATTAGGCAACCAAGAATGCAAAAAGTGAAAAGTGAAATTCGATATAATCAAATCTTGTAACCTATACCACCGTGGTCTGCTTTTAAAATCATGTTATACATAAATTATAAATATGGATTATTGCCTTTAGGCAACCAAAAATGCAAAAAGTGAAAAGCAAATTAAATTGCCAGCAAACGTAACATACTCACCAAGTTCTTCTGTTGTTGCAGAGATAGAGGATTTAGGTCCTTTCCCTTTATGATTACATGCACATACCTAAGGCCAGGAATCAAGTATCAAAATATAGTTAATCAAATGAGTGTGTGTGTGCGTGTATAGGTTTTTTACAGACGTGTATCAATCAGATATGATTATTTACGTCTGGAGACCGACCTTTAAAAGTCACCATCCGAAAGACGTGACTCAGTTTCGAACCTGCATCCTCGGCTGAATCGTCCTCAGTTAATCACATGAGACATTCACTGCGTATTTTTATAGAAATATCTCACGCATGGAGACAGATAATGATTTCCACCACTTCATTTTGTTCTGTATGTAAGTTCTTAAATTACAAGATAAAAAAAAAATTAAGGTCATAAAACAACTCTACTTCTTCATGAACATAAAAACAAAACCCAAACACACAACTTTGTAACTCACATGAAGCTCATATGTGGTTTTTGGAGCCAGGCCGCTGATGATGGAGTTGAGTTCAGAGGTCATTTCCACCTGATGCTTGCCGTTGTAGACCACGTATCCCTTGAGGCCGCCGTTGTTGTACTGGGGCGGGGCCCATCCTAGTCTGATCTGGGAGGTGGTTATACCCAGGATACGCAATGCCTCTGGAGCATCGGGAACTGATGGAAAGATGGAAGGGGAGTGTGTCGTGACAGAGCAAGAAATGATTGTAAAATATGATCAGTTGGTCAAATTAACACTCATTTAAAGTTAAAGGGATCGTTAACAACGCTAAATCTGAGATACACGGCGCTACGTGTTATCAGTGTCTGTGATATGGTGTAATATTGAAACCCTAAAAAAAAATTGCACTTCAAAACGATCAAGAAGTGCCTCAAAAAGGTAAAAATCTTTGAGTGACTGGTTTTACCATACTCGTTTTCCCCAATAGACTGTAGTGTTATAAAAACCGTTTGGCAAACGGTTTTCGAAATTTGTAATTCCAATCATAAATATCTTGATAATCAGACAGGCGATCGGCTTGTAAAAGTCACGGGGTTCCTGACTGACCTAAAGGTTTATAATTATCATTGCAGCATGAGCTATATCCAGAATTTTTTTTCAGAATCTGAGACAAAGTTACTGGATCCCTTTAAAGTGTACCAATCACCAAAAAATATATTTCTCTGTAAGTAAGTATAGTTCCATGTCATAAGACTATATTCAAAACATGAGCATGAGACCCAAGTCCAATTTGGATTCTGCATCTGCTGTTTTATATAATTTTTTATTTTCTCCACAATCCTTATCCTTTTAGCCCATAGAATGCCAGATGAAATAAATTGAGATGGATTTTGTATATTCAAGCTGCATACAACTTTTTAGCTAATTGATAAACTTTAAGGCAGTGGCCAACTTCATATTGTATTAAAACTGCTCTTTCTTCAAAATATTTTCTTTTGGAATAATCAAATAACAATTGAATGATATTATGCACACTCATTTGATCTGGAATGGTTTTATGCAACTTTATTCATTGTTAAAAAATAATAAAAATCCTTAAATCCTTTGAGGCAAACAACGAACAATAAACAAACTCACCAGCATCCTGTGTCTTAGCAACACAGTCGTTGCTATGAGGACTGTCATCCCCCTCGGTGTGTATCTGAAGCTTGAAGGAATACTTGGTGAAGGGTCTGAGATTAGAGACTAGCTGCACAGTGTCAGGACCATGATACACCTGCTTGCTTTCTGGAAATTTAACCAACAAAAAAAAAGAACACTGAATACAACAGAAAGTAGTATAAATGGCACGTTAAAGCCACACTGTACTACTTGTAGCTACTTGCTCCCTCTATATAGAAAACAATGCTTAATCAGTGACCATTGGTCCCCCCACGATCCTCTTTTTCTGATGTTAATTGAGAGCTGAGTTGATGAGATAACCACCTGTCCAGTGACCTTGCAGGGTGGTCTAATCCCCCCTATAAACTAGTACAGATGAGCTTTAATAGCTATACAGTCAACCTGGTTTAGCGACCACCCGTCTACAAAGACCTCATTTTTGGTTGAAAATGGTTTCTCATTAAAACATGTACTAAAGGAACCTGTACATAAAGACCACCTGCCTATAAAGACTACAGACAGGTTTCACTCTATATGTACAGTAATGGCCCGAACCCCCCACAATGATATAAAATAAAATATGATACTGCTCACCTTATCTAAAAATATTTTTACAGACTTCTGTGCAATTACAGTGCGGTAAGTTTGCACACAGCCAAAGTTCATTAAGAGCCTTGCTTTTTGAGCTCTGTGATAAAATTCACCAAAAATCACGGACAGAGCATAAAAATACATTGTCTGATAAAAAATAAACAAGACCGTGTCCATTATGTTTTATCCAAATTTCCTCTTCCTACCAAAAAGAAATGTCACACATAATCCTTGATCACTGTCCTGCGTGACTAACTCACCACAGAACAAGGTGTATGTCACAGGCGATCCGCTCTTCAACTCCACGACCGGCCAAGTGACCTCTATCTCATGGGGACCTTTGACCTCTAACCCAGGAGCTTCGGGTCTGGCAAGGTGCTTCAAGAGTTCAAGGGTCAGGTCAACTTCTTCCAAGAGGTCAGGGTTCACGCTAGGCGTCAGGGATATTTGCTGTGAAATGTATGTACATATATATATATATATGTATATGTTGATAATGCATGCACATAAATGCATAGAGATAGTAATATGAACTTTTTCGTTAACTGCAGAATAATGATTATAATAGTACAAATAATGGTGGCTTCTTAGAAAGTGCTCAAGTCCTTCAACACTCCTAATGCTCCAGGCAATCCAAGATTATTAATGTCTCTTTCATAGTGAAATGTGTATCCTGTTAGTATTTTGGGTACTAATCTATAACTGGGTAGAAAAGGGGCAAACAAAGACTAATGTCTCGCCAAAGAACGTTGGTGCTGGGCTGGGATTTAAATCCTCACCCCTTGGATTGAAAGTCAAGTGAATGAACCATTATACAGACAATGGTTATTTCAAAGCTACCTGTACCTATGGTAGCTTAGAACATACCTTTAGGAGTGGTACAACATCGGCATGGTCTCTAAGTCTGAGTACACCCTGTCTCTTTCCAGCCAGAGTTCGAAGTGTCCTGCGAAATGAACAATAACAAGATATAAAGTACTCTCTACATTAAGGAACCACAACTTCTCATATGATCCTGTACTTTTTCGGTATCTCGTTTACGTTATACATTTAAAGAGAAAATAGAAAATCAGTGAAAGTGCATGACTGTGGAATAACAAATGAAAATTCTATGATGCTTTCTTAAAAAATACTGCTAAAATCATAATGGATTCAATGAAACAACAGACCCTACCTTTTCACTGACTTCGAATAAAGACAAGAAAAAGATCAACAAGAAGAACAAGAAGAACAAGAAGAACAAGAAGAACAAGAGGAAGAAAAAGAAGAATAAGAGTAAGAAGAAAAATTACCGGCGTGAGAAAATGAAAGCAGAAAAAAAGAACCAAAAAATAACCAAAAAATAACCAAAAAAAGAAAGAAAGAAAGAAATAAGAAGGAAATATAGAAATATGAATCAATCAATTAATTTGAGAAACTCTAGCTACATGACTTACATAGCAGCAAACCATGCTGTCTCTCCATCGTCGTTACTCAGCTGCTGAGCCAGCAGATGGAGCATCAGATCCGAGTTCTTGTGAAGCAATAGCCGCTTGTGACCCTGGTCACTGCTTGCCAGGCAGCTCAGAGCGTAGCAGGCGTTCTTGCCACAGCCGGAGTCTTTACTGGTCAACATGCAACACAAGCTTTCCAGCTTTATTACGGTGGCACAAGAAATAGAAAGAAGATAAGATATCTGTTATCCTTTTTCAAAGATCGATCCCACCGTTGCCACCATGATGAGTTTGAGGGTCTTAGTAATGGTAGATAATCTACAAATAATACACAGCAGTGAGGGCATTAGCAAGAATTACCCACACGATCGAGGTACCTTTGGAACAGTCTAACACGCCCGAGGCGATAGCCGATGGAGTTTGGACTGTTTTAAAGGTACAGAGTGTGTGTAATTACACTAATGCCCGAACAAAATGATGTGTATTATTTGTTTTATAAGATAATGTTGTTTTTTTTTAAATAAAATGATGTTTTATAACATAATTTTGATGATGACCGGTCAATATCCAAATTATGCGTTAGGCAAAAGAAATGACTGGTCACGTGTACGCTTTCAACCAATCATTTGATTAGGATCCACGTCATCATCTTATAACTCAGGATAATAGAGAGTCGGCAGATGGGTTTGTTATGGTAGACATGTTGTTTATTCAACTACGACGGATTACGGATATTCGGATATCGCATATCGTAACAAAGATAAGATATGATATGTCATCCTAGTTGTTATGATATCAATATAACCAAAAATAAAATAAAACTGATGTCATTGTCAAGTTGATGCAGTGTTAAATCTAAATTTTGCTTGCTAGGCAGCTCAGAGCCTACGTAGCAGGCATTTTTGCCACAGCCAGAGTCTTTACTCTTCAACATGCAACACAAGCTTTCCAGCTGTAGCACGTGGCACAAGAAAGAGAGAGAAGATAAGATATGATATCTTAGTTGTCATGACATCAATATAACCAATAACCAGAAATAAAAGCCTACCAGAAGGGCGTAACTCGGTGTTAAGGTCAACGAGTCAACGCCCAACAGATGATATCATACAATTCAGTTTCTTTAGGTCAAAGTACACAAAATAAGTTTTAATGCCATTTTTTATACAGGTATTTCTTTTCAGGCAGCAGACAAATATTGATACGCTAGCTCTTACCATTTTCTCTGAGTCTCTGTGATTCAGCAATCTCAGTCGGCCATCATCAATGTCACAGAGACGTCCAATGGCAAATGCTGCATTCATCCCCCTTCCTATAAAAAGAAAGGAGCAAAATTCTGAGAGTTGGAATATCGTTTGTCCATAAGTCAATGGTTACAAATACAACTTCAAAAACAAAACAGAACTAAGAAACAAATAGTTCGCACACCCCACGCCTTCTTGTTTGGGATCTACACACAAGAAGAAGAAGAACATCAACAAATGAACGGTTATGGAAAGAAAACGGTACCTTTAATTGTACCAATATCCAAAACATGTTTTGCTCTTGATGTAAGGGGTGCCATATCACTGCTGCATACATGTATGTACAAAGTATGAGCTTCCAATTTTACTTCTACAAAGAGATATTGCAGTTTAGATACACTCTTAATAAAAAAAATCATTTACACTTTTTTAAAAATGTGGCAGCTCTTTTGCAGTGGTTTACTGTGCCATATCTGAACAAGTTCTTTACACACATAAAGCATCGTTATTAGATGCTGGTCTCTCAATGTACATCATCTTTCCTCAGTGACCTTTGACCTACCTGCTTCGTCCATTCCTAGAGATTCGACCAGCTTGGTCAAGATTTGCAGAGAGCTGTAATGATTCAACACGCGCTGACATCCCTGCTCTGCTATCGATAACCTGATCAAGAAAAAAATAAAAACAAAGCTGTTTGTTACTGGTCAGATTTCTACATCATGGAAGGGGCTTAGGTATTTCACTTCTTCATTTTGTCAAAAATTACGTTTTTTTAAAGTAAAGTCTAACAGAGTTTGAGAAAAGGTTAGATTGAAATCTTAATTGTCAGGGAACAAAACTGTATCCCGATCACACTGCAGGCTACCAATTTTCTTGATACTATATTCATACAGGTCTTTTAAAATAACAAATATTATGATATTTAGAACCAAAATAAGATATGGAAAAGAAAGGTAGGGAACGGTCAATACCTGGCAAGAACAAGAGCTGCATTGCTAGCGGTCCACATGTTAGACGAGGATAGGAGACTGGTAACCTTTCTCAGTAGATCATCTAAGCATGAATCCCCCAGCATCCAGTCTCTACCAGCCTTGCTCTCCGCCTGTAAAAAGGATGTAATACGAGCTTAGGACATTTGATTAAGACACAGGAGGACTAGGGTGAATCCCTAGATCTACTGAATGACTTTTGGTGAATACTGCAAATTGAATAGACATACCGGTGCAGTTACCGACTGAATTCATACCCCTTGTAAATTTGATGTTTTTTTGGTTGCGTTTTTCATTACTCAAGAATGATGGACTGGTTGATTTAGGACCTTCTTTGAATAATTTTTAGATGTAAGCTGTAGTCACTATGAACATGACGGACAAAGAAAGAGGACAAAATATACAGTTCCTCATTCTACCCTCAACAATTGCTGTGGTAGACAAAGGAACATCCCTTCACTGCTATTATGTACAAAATGTGTAGAACAGGTGAATATGCATGTGACACCTGTTCTACACATTTTTACATAATAGCAGTGAAGGGATGTTCCTTTGTCTACCTGAGGAACTGTGTATTTTGTCCTCTTTCTTTGTCCGTCATGTTCATAGTGAGTACCGGTATGTCACATTCTCAAGAAACATAAATCAGGCAAATCAATTAGTTAACATACCTGACAAATTAGGAAACTTAATTGGTAGCTCAGTATGAATAATTGAATCGTTAACTTTATACCCAGCTAGCATCATGTTTGTATTTTTTACCCATAACAAAAATTATATTCAACTGATTGAATAACAGATAGCTGGAGAAGAGTGAAATTGGGTTAACCCTCACATGTACAAGTAGTGAAAAAGTTTTTCATTTCATTAAAAATTCATGACTTTGTTATTATAGATTTTGCTTAATTTTTTTTTGATTGGTTTGTCTGATTTTTCTGCTTCTTTTGTAAGTAAGTTATTTTTGGAGTGGACTTGCCCTTTAATACCTTTCTTTTGATATTTATACATAGCATCTGATGACTTTTCTTACCAATGTTCCCATGGTTCCAGCAGCATTCATGACACACTCTGTATCGTCGTAGGAGAGCATCCCAGTGAGATCGGTCAGTATGTGATGAGGCGAGGACCCCTTGACCAGTGACATCACACGAAGTTGACCTACGTCATGCTCTGCTAGGGTACCAAAGATGTAGGCAGCATTCCCAGCGACTCTGTAAAATAATTGTTTTATTGTCAAAGTCAGTTCTACATATTATTTGTTTTTATTTGCTTTACAAAATGTGAGAAATTAATCATCAATGATAAAAAACAGCAACACTACTACAAATGAAAATGATGATGAAAATGATGATGATGATGATGATGATGATGATTGATGCTGTTGCTGCTGCTGATGATGATGATGATGATGATGATAGTGATGATAATAATGATGATAATAAGAATAAGAAGAACAAGAAGAAGAACAAGAAGTAGAAGAAGAAAAAACTTGGCAAAAATGAATACAATAATAATGAAAATAATATATTTGATTGAATCCCATGTATGATGATATAATAGCTAGCGGAGAATAACGAACGAATTAAAACAAGAAATAAACATTAAAAGTCAGGGAGCTATATAATATTATAACACCTAGAATTTACCAATGACTTCATCATTATAGATAAAAAAAGAAGGGTTACATCACATGTTTGCAGCATGTTAGAATTGTGTGTATCGATCTTGCACACATCCTTTTCAAAATCTAACAAATTTTAAGGCCATATGAAAATGTAGAAAATGGACTTTTTTGTTTTAGCCTGTTATTGTATAATGGGTGCATGTCTTTTTCCTTTATGTGTCCTTAATTTTCAAACAAGTAAAGTCTCCATGTAGTCTTATCGTACCATTATACACAAAAACAACGCTACAAGATCCTTTGTCAGCTAGAGTTCGGAGAAGCAATTCTCTACCACACCCCTATTGTATAGCAGCTATCCACAAATAGTTTCTACTAAATGTTTTGTTCAGATAATCAATAAGGACAAGAAAATCCTTTGTGACGTTACACTTCTTGTCATCAAAAGACCCAGATATCGGCCCTAATTCAAGATAGTTGGATCAATAACGAGGTCCCAAAGTACAGAGTGTATAGTTAGTGCAGGAATAATCTATTTTCAAAACTGCTCTATCGTGTCAAAAGGGGAGTTTCTCTGAAAGTTATGTTGTTGTTTTTTTTACATTAAATTGCATTTAATTTTTTTGTTTTCAGTTACTCAAAAGAAAATGTACAGCTGCATGGTGCTCAAGATAGCATTTGAAACAAAAAGATAGTAAAATGAAGAACTAAACTATCAGTCTGAATTTGCATGGGCAGAAAGATACCAAAATTGACAAATCAAATTTGTCAATCATAAATTCCATATCTTCTTTTTTATTCCTGTGTTATGCTTATTATTACCAAACAGATTAACAAAACGTAAGGCACCACTTTTCTCAACAAAGAACATGTACAATTTGTACAGCACCACTTTTTCTAAATAAAATAAAAAATACAATTTTGCATGAAACTTCCAATCTAAAACTCATACATTTGAGAATAAATCAATGCATAATCCATGCACACTTCAACCAGAAGGTCTCCAAACCATTATGCTTTAATATCCATTAGAAATTAGTGACACAGAACCCTTTTGGGAGTTAAAAGTTGTTTTTCATCACTCTTATATATACATACATGTACATTGTGTACACCTGCCCAAATATATAAATATAATTTTTTTAAAAACCAAAAAGAATTGCATTTCTAATATATTATGGTAAAAATTGTATTAATTGTCATCAATACACTCAAGATAAGAAATTGTAATTTATTGGGGAAACTAGATACCTTAATAAGTTGATATTCAAGAATCTCATTACCAAGAATCATCTTTTTTGGATTTGGTAAGCGAGGAGGAAAAGGCACTTTACAGGAGTAAAATTTTCATTTTGATTAAAGAAAAACAATGTGACAATATTCTGACATTCCGGAATAGGATGGTATTCATGCAGCTCAATGCCTGCAACCATAAAGTTTGTGAGAGAGCGAAGTATGCAAAGAAAATGGGGCTCTTTATAATGTTATTTCATCATCAAAATACACAGGATGATGTTTTGGGGCATCTTGTGCACTTTGATTTTACAAATTTGACGTAATTCCAAAATAAATTGGTAATCATTCTCTTGCGGCACACCTAGCAATTAATGCACGTCTTCTAGCATCTTGGTTGAAACATGCTGCATTAGAATACCAATAAATCCTTACTTAGCATGCAAGCTGGAATTCTATTTTCACATATTTGCATTCGGGATTTACAATTCAACAAAGAAATGTCACTTTAAAATACTATTTGCCCTATCTCTAGACTCTTTCACCAGCACAAATACAGACACAAATGAATTTCTGTTTCCCCTCAAGTCAGACTGCATTCAAATCAAGACTACCGTACCCTTTATCTCAACTCTTATACTTTCAAACACAGACAATGGGAAAGTGAAAACACTGTTTGCAGGAAGGCTTTGCTAAGCCTATGATATACCATCAACAATAAAATGTTTACAGCCGACATACATGTATAATGTCTCTCACACCATCTCACTTTTTACTCTTCAACAAATCCAGTACAAAATGTTGAAGTTATCTCTGACAGTAAATTGGGGATTCGGGAAATTCTATCTCAGGCATATTTTGACCTCCAAATATACAAAACAACACTCTGCCAGACAGTCAGCATATATTACACATGTACATGATGTTGTAACTTCCATATCAGTCCACACATTGAAGCACCATGAGGGGCATTGTATACATTGTAACAGTTCGAGACTATTGGTAATTTAAGGTATTAAAAATGCATTATATTTTCGAAAGACACAGTCCTTCATCAAACAGTATACATTTGGGCAATATCATATTCCCCCTTTCTTATCCTCTCTCTCTCTTTCTCTCTCTCTCTCTCTCTCTCTCTCTCTCTTTGATGTATTTACTATCATTTAAATAATACTTTATTTTTCTCTTGTGAAATGTATTATAGGGATTTGCTCCTCTAGTCTCACTGTACAGTGTAGGTAAAGAATTTCATTTTCATAGAGATGGTAAACGTAGATGTACACGTATAGATCTACCTCTAGAGAGCAAAAGCTTGAATTTGAATATTCTTTCAAAAAGAAAAAGGGAAATCAATATACAACACTGTACATATATTTTGTTATTGTGAATGACTCTCCCGGCACCCCTGTCTGTGTATATGCAAACAATATATTCGTCTTTACTACAAATTCAACAACAACAAAAGTACAAAACTAGTGAAAATAGTGAGAAGTTTCAAATTTAAGTACATTTGATCAATAAGCTTTGAAATGCTATCTTTCAACAACAAAAAATACTGTACCGATGGCATGGGGTGCGGGCGCGCGCGTGTTCAGTAAGCGACTGTAAACTAAGATTACAGTCGCTAACTTAACACACACGCGCGCCCGCACGCGCACCCGACTGTCGAGACGGTATGTAATTGTATTGTGCTGCAGTATGCCGTGAATCCTTTGAGAGAGTGCATATTATAAGTCTTTGAAAAATACTCCGAAAAAGATAAGAAAATTGCAACGAAACAGGTAACAAACATAGACTATCAACTTTTAAATCATGACCGTAATTATTTGGACATTTTATGAATATTTACTTCATTTTAGGTATGTTTTAGTAGGGTATCTCCACGCGGGACTTCCGGGTCAAATTTTGGATACACTTGAATCTGAACTAGCGCCTAATTCTTTCTGGGTTGTTTATCCTGCAGTGGTTGTTCGAACCAGTAAAATAAAAAACACAACTCTCTTTTGCACATAATTAATAATGACCTGTGTTTGGTTAAGCACATGGTGTATGGTCGGTTAACTGTTAATATGAATGTGAATCTACCTTGCATTCTTTTCAGCCAGTAGCCGGACAATACCCCAGAGAAAGTCTTCGGAACCATAGTGAGAGATGAAAGCATTGATGGTCTTTTCCTTGTCTTTGTGGATATCATCCACCAGCAGCTCCAACGCCCTGTGTGCCTCCGGGTCCTCGGGCTGCGCCAGCAGCGACTCGAAGTACTCATCCTGCCGCCAATTTAAGGTCATCTCCGGTTAATTTTCGTGCTCTAAATTACATTATTACGGTTTAAATATGATCCAGGAGTAATTATGAAATAAAATATAACAAAATACAGGAGTTATTCATAGTTAACCCTATGTTGCTAGGTCTGTCTCTTCCGTACACAACTGTCGTCGTTACGATGCGAATTCACATTGCGTCGCGAATTTGGGGGCTCCGAAATTCGGCCAAACATAACTCAGGCTATAAGCATCGACCCATCCTTCAGCGGGCTCTTCAGTTGTTATGTTTTAGAGTTTCTATCAAAATATTACATTGAAAAGTAATTGCTTTTATATTTTACTTAATTTTGAAGAGAAATACAATTTCAAACCGATAAAAAAATGTATTTTAATATTCTACTTATGAATCGAGTTGATTGGATGTTCAGTCGTCCTCTTAGCGGTCGAAATAGTTAAGGCCGAATCAGCAGGTTCCAAAGTTAGTCTTGGATCATAACACACGAGACTAATAAATATATTGTAACGGACACGTATTCGCTACCTTGGCTTGACACGGAATATTTGTCAGGATGCCCCGTGTCGGCCAGGCGCTCTCCGTCCGTTTGGACAAAATATATGCCCGTAGCTTAATGGCTGGAGTTATTAACTGCTCACACGTATCTCAACAATCATTCGTCCATCGACTACAATCGGTCACCTAAACGTCTCGTTCACAGCATCAATCAATTGAGCATCCTTCGAACAATCAATTTCCCTTATCAACACTTGTCACAGGTTCTCGTCCCTTGGTTTCACTGCTCCAAGAAATCAAACCAATCATGATGTGTAGGTTGAAAGTCTTTATTGCGATCCATTCAACAATCGGGTAAACTCAGTACAAGTACAGTGCAAACTATGTGAGACTTAGCGTAGAGGCTTAGGCCAGGCCAACTATCAGGCCAACTATCAGGCCAACTATCAGGCCAACTATCAGGCTAACTTTCAGGCCAGCCTCGGTGAGGCTGGCCTGTATCGGATACAGTGCAGTGGAAAGCCCTAGATGCACAACCCTGACCATCGAAACAATTTCCCTATACATAAACGTGTAAAAGAACAATTATGTCCTCGTTAGTAAAACAACACTTCAACACAATATTTCTGCTAATCCCATAAAATCTTCACATATAATCTTCAGTATAACCCCTTATTCCTGATTAGATCACTACTATACAAGTAATATCCCCAAAAGAAACATGATAATTGCACCAACATGATTGTTATATGTAATTTATGCTCATTTTCCTTCAGTTTGGTAATTGCTAAATCAACGATGCGCCATATTGCTATAGCGCATGCTCGTACAACAGAAAATGCTTAACCTTCGTCCAATACTAAAACCCTGATTTGTTACACGATTCCCTTCCCTCCCAAGCTTGGTCCCCAAGCTAACTTATCTCTAACTTATGCAACAACAACAAAACAAATCAAAACTAAAATCCAAGTCTTTTCTGACAGTTCAAAATGGCTCTTTCCAAAAGTGTTCAACTGTTCAAAAGTTAGTTTGTTCCTGTCCTTCGATCTAGGCACCCCTGGGCTCATTGTTCTTTCTCTCCATTGTCGTTCTACACTTCCGTCAACTCGACCAGCTGCAACACCGTCAATGCTACCTCCCGTCGTCCCCAAGCTCCGTCAGCTCGACCAGCTGTGACGCAGTCAGTCTTACTGCCCGTTGGCGAATTTTTTTTCCGTACTCGAGAGAGCAAAAATCCCATGTGCGCATGCGCGTGGACTTATGATTTCTCTGCTACTTCCCATACGAAATGTACATGTATTCGCATGTACTGTGCACGATTCGCGTTCTACGAGTAAACGATGGCATAGTAGTCTTCAAACACAGACTCTGATTTGCCAGTTTGACAAATCAATATGCGTATGTGTCGCGATGTGCTTATTCAAGTCTGTGTAGTTGTATGATTCAGACCCAGTAGTGCATATGGAAATACATTGCAACTTGTATAGAATGGTATAGTAGTCTGCAAGCACAGACGCTAATCTGACAGTTTGACAACATACTAGTAGTGTGCTGAGAAGTACTTTATTCAAGTCGCCAACTTGTATAGAATGGTATAGTAGTCTGCAAGCACAGACGCTAATCTGACAGTTTGACAACATACTAGTAGTGTGCTGAGAAGTACTTTATTCAAGTCTGCGTAGATGTATGATTCAGACCCTACTGGTGCGTGCGTTAGAAATGCATCTCATTGTGTAGAGTGTAGTATAGTAGTCTGCAAGGACATAATAATATATTGTGTATTGATGAGTAACACAGAAAACTACGAAAACTTGAATAAAAGCACTACTCAATACACAATAGGCCTATATTATTCTGTCAAACTGTCAAAGGAGAGTCTGTGCTTGCATACTACTATGCCACTCTATAAGTTGAGGTGCATTTCCAATACACGCACCAGTAGGGTCTGAATCATAAAACTACTCAGACTTGAATAACACTATTTTGTCAAACTGTCAGATTAGCGTCTGTGCTTGCAGACTACTATGCCACTCTGCAAGTTGAGATGCCTTTCCAATACACGCACCAGTAGGGTCTGAATCATAAAACTACACATATTTGAATATAAAGCCCTACTCAAGACACTATGTTGTCAAACTGTCCGATTAGCGTCTGTGCTTGCAGACTACTATACCATGCTATTCAATTTGGGATGCATTTCTGTAAGCACTAAAATGTCTGAATCATACAACTACTCAGACTTGAATACTAGTACTATTGCTACGCACGATATATGCGTAATTGTTTTGTCAAACTGGCAAATCAGAGTCTGTGTTTGAAGACTACTATGCCATCGTTTACTCGTAGAACGCGAATCGTGCACAGTAGATGCGAATACATGTACATTTCGTAGGGGAAGTAGCAGAGAAATCACAAGTCCACGCGCATGCGCACATGGGGTATTTGCCCTCTCGAGTACGGAAAAAAAATTCGCTGCCCGTTGTCCCCAAGCTCCTTCAGCTCGACCAGCTGTGACGCGGCAGTCTCACTGCACGTCGCCCCCAAGCTTTATCAGCTCGACCAGCTGTGACGCCGTCCGACCTACTGCCCTTCGTCGTCCCCCAGCTCCGTCAGCTCCACCAGCTTGTGACGCCGTCAGGCCTTCTGCCCGTCGTCCCCCAGCTCCGTCAGCTCTACCAGCTTGTGACACCGTCAGACCTACTGCCCGTCGTCCCCCAGCTCAACCAGCTGTGCATGACGCCGTCAGTCTTACTGCCTGTCGTCCCCCAGCTCCGTCAGCTATACCAACTTGTGACGCCGTCAGACTTACTGCCCATGGTCCCCCAACTCCGTCGGTGCTACTGCCGTCGTCCCCCAGCTCCGTCAGCTCGACCACTCCACACCATCAGCTATCCCACTTCTGACACCATGTGTAACGGGCACGTATTCGCCACCTTGGCCTGACACGGAATATTTGTCAGGATGCCCCGTGTCGGCCAGGCGCTCTCCGTCCGTTTGGACAAAATATATGCCCGTAGCTTAATGGCTGGAGTTATTAACTGCTCACACGTATCTCAACAATCATTCGTCCATCGACTACAATCGGTCACCTAAACGTCTCGTTCACAGCATCAATCAATTGAGCATCCTTCGAACAATCAATTTCCCTTATCAACACTTGTCACAGGTTCTCGTCCCTTGGTTTCACTGCTCCAAGAAATCAAACCAATCATGATGTGTAGGTTGAAAGTCTTTATTGCGATCCATTCAACAATCGGGTAAACTCAGTACAAGTACAGTGCAAACTATGTGAGACTTAGCGTAGAGGCTTAGGCCAGGCCAACTATCAGGCCAACTATCAGGCCAACTATCAGGCCAACTATCAGGCTAACTTTCAGGCCAGCCTCGGTGAGGCTGGCCTGTATCGGATACAGTGCAGTGGAAAGCCCTAGATGCACAACCCTGACCATCGAAACAATTTCCCTATACATAAACGTGTAAAAGAACAATTATGTCCTCGTTAGTAAAACAACACTTCAACACAATATTTCTGCTAATCCCATAAAATCTTCACATATAATCTTCAGTATAACCCCTTATTCCTGATTAGATCACTACTATACAAGTAATATCCCCAAAAGAAACATGATAATTGCACCAACATGATTGTTATATGTAATTTATGCTCATTTTCCTTCAGTTTGGTAATTGCTAAATCAACGATGCGCCATATTGCTATAGCGCATGCTCGTACAACAGAAAATGCTTAACCTTCGTCCAATACTAAAACCCTGATTTGTTACAATATTCCTGAAATTCATCTCGACCCGGGTTCGGACCCCGCCCCTTGATCGTTTACATCAGGCCTTCTCAACTGGCGGCGCGCGCGCCACTCGTGGCGCTTGCGGTCAGTCAGAGTGGCGCGCGGCTGTTCCAAAAAATTAATAAAAAATAAATACAAATTAAAATTCAAAAATTAAAGAGAAAACAAATTAAAAAATTATATTTTAAAATAAAAAACTTCAGGAATTCTACTTATTATTTCACATCAATATGAAATTATGATTGATGTTTTATGGAACAAAAAGGTGTTAAAAATGCCACATCTGGGCCTTAACCCTAAAAAGGCCGGGCTATTTGAGGTCTTAGTACGGCCGGGGGGAGGGAGGGGGCATTATGCCCCCCTCCCCATAAGATCTCGGCCGTGAAGCGGCCGATCTCCGCAAAAATGTGCACGCATGTCAAGTGAAGTGTATAGAATACTATGATAATTTCAATTTTTTGAAAAATTCACTTATTTGCATATTTATGGTAATTTATGCAAATAAGGTCATACAAATCACATTGTCACCCATAAATCATATATTATTCATATTTAAGCATTCTTTTTCACTACATATATTCATTAGATCATTTTTAATAATAATACGACAAAAAATTTGGAAGAGCCAGCTAAATCCTTATGTTATCCCTTGTTTTGATAATTTCTTATGTATGTCATTGTTTTTTAAACTTATGTATTTTATTGTTTTTGTTGTTTTATCTCTCGTTTCTAACTACAATTCAACTATTTTGACTCCCAAAACAACCACCTAAATTTTAAACAAGACCCAATAACCCATGTTTGATCTATTTTTAGGAAAACATGACTTTTCCATAGTTTTGTACACAAATCAGGAAAATGAGCGATTTTGGGGCTAACATGCAAAGACAAAAGGTCACGTGACCTTGTAACCGTAGGTCCGATTTTCAAAACAATTCTTTTAAAAGTTGCGCAAGACTCAAAAGAAAAAAGTCAGCGAGCGGCGGGGCGCCATCCATATGCGTTCCCGAACAATCAGAAAACCCGTGGGTTAAGCCCTAAAATACACTAGCTTCCGGGGGCTTCGCCCCCTGAACCCCACCCGGTATCGGCTCGGTCGCTACGCTCCCTCGCAACACAGTCACCAAACATACAGGTTGGCACTTCAACCACAATAAATTTTTGTTTTGGCGCTTCTAATAAACTAGTTGAGAAGGCCTGGTTTACATTAATTGGCATTGCATTTTTTTTTTTTTTCAATTTTAATTTTGTCCTGAGAATAATAACAAAATATTGATAGTACACTCAGAAATGATTAAAAATGAGATGATAATGACAATAATAGTTAAAAGGATTTTGTATAGCGCATAATTAACAATTTAACATAGACTAGGCATAATTAATTGCCTATCGATCTCTCCAGGGATGTCTCTATGCATATGCGGCTCTGTATATACCTGTACGCAACAGAACAAAAGGAGTTGAAATCGTGCACTGGGTTCATAGTTGAAAAGTGCTAAATAGATGTGTTATCAAATTATACTTCTGAACTTTTCGTATGTTTCTATATTTCTAAGGTATTCCGGCAAGTTATAAAACAGTGGCTGCATATGAAAACAACCTGTTTCCATAAAACTGGGCCATAAGATTTTGTCAGTTTGTTGGACATAAAATAAAGACTTTTTACTGCATGGAACGAAACATTCTTTCTGGTTTATATATATTAGGAGTGTAATACTCGATAATCAAATTTTATTACAACCGTCAGCCACTAGGCCTACCCAGGGGCGGATCCAGGATTTGCCGATAGGGGGGGGGGGGGGCCTAAAATGTGAAAATCGCGCCGACCAATATCTCGCTCAGTGGGGGGGGGGGGGGGGGGGGGGTAGTGATCATAATTTCTTTTTCTCGTATTTGACCTCGAAAATGTGAAAATCGTGCCGACCAATATCTCGCTCAGTGGGGGGGGGGGGGGGGGGGGGGGGGGGGTAGTGGAGCATCACTTTTTTTTTGGTTTATGACCCCGAAAATGTGAAAATCGAGCCTACCGATATCTCGCTCAGTGGGGGGTATTTGACCCTGAAAACTTTTTTTTTTTTTTGTATTAAAAAAAAAAAAAAAAAAAAGCCAGGGGGGCCGGGCCCGTCGGCCCCCCCCCCCCCCCCCCCCCCCCCCCCCCCCCCCCCCCCCGTGGATCCGCGCCTGGGCCTACCCACGGATCTCAACACGGATATAGTTTCCCTCTCATGTATCAAGACATCATAATATACGCTTGAACTCACTCTCTTTCCTTGCTTCATTCATACATGTTGGTTCCTCTTTCAGCTTTATATCTTGCTCTCCCCTCCATCTCTCTCATACCCTATCGTATAGCTCTCTCTCTCTCTCTCTCTCTCTCTAGCTCTCTCTCTCTCTCTCTCTCGCTCTCTCTCTCTCTCTCTCTCTCTCTCTCTCGCTCTCTCTCTCTCTCTCTCTCGCTCTCTCTCTCTCTCTCTCTCTCTCTCCTTAGTTTTGTCACCCTCTCATATCTCCTTAATTATAATTATATCCATTCCTCAGTCACTCAGTGCACACTCTTTTCTTTATCTCTTTTTATTTTTTTCCTTTTTAATCTATTACCCCTGTCAGAGTTATATATATCTGCGACAATCCAACTCACATTTAATTGTATATTTCCCCCTTGAAATGTGCTGAAGTTGACCTTACACAAAGAAATGGAAACCTACAAGAATTGTTCCAAGTTATGGCACAATTAGCCTATAACAAAAAGAGTTTCACACATAAATCTTAACATGACAGAGGAGACTTCAAATGTAAAAAAATAGAGCATAGATGTCTAGTTCTGATTGTCTAATTCTAAAATGAAGTGTTTTTGTTTAAATTACACTGGCAAACAAATAACATTTTCGATGAGTTGGCTCAACATCATGTTGAGCTATATATAATTTTGAAGGTTCTAAATTGTTAAAAACTCAAGAACTTACGGGGGCTCCCGCCCCCCCCCCCCCCACTCAGGGGTCGGAATGACCGCATGCGTGTTACCAAAATGTCCGGTATAAAGGGGTAAAAAGTGCGACAAAGTCCGGCCCGAGAATTGTAAAAAAAGGGGTGTATTTGACTTTTCACCCGGAGATTTCTTTAAAAAGGGGGTGTTTTTTTTCTCTCATCTCTTTTTGACTCCTGAGAAATTATTCCGAATTTAGGGGGTACATTGAGCATTTTTCCTGATTTAGGGGGGTCTCCAAGGCAGGAAAAGCCCGCGAAAAGCCCGCAAAAGGGGGGGTTCGAAATTGTTGGCAGTCCTCAGATAGGGGGTGCTTTGAAAAAGAGGGAACGAGCATATGCGTACCCTAAATAACACTGAGTGGGGGGGGGGGGGCGGGGGCTCAGCCCTACCGGCAAATGTTCAAGTTCAAGTTCAAGTTTTTATTTATCTTTCTTTCATACAAATGCTCCCCGAACCTATATACTACCTGTAAAGGCGTAAAGAAGCACTGTCAAGATTATTTTTGTAAGTTTTTTTAATCAAAACAGAATCACAATATTTACAAATAGTTGGAGAACAATTCAAAAGTAAAACAATACATAAAATATAAGACAAAATGTCAAAACGGCAATCGTAACATAGATAAAGATATAACAGGAATGCAGGCCACCACTATATTGAAAATCAGTGTTGTTGTTGTTAGTTCGTTCTGTGTTTTGTATACAATTATAGGCCTGATAATAGGCCCTGTTGAAAAGTTTCACACAATCAGACCTGTGCCTGTAAGATCATAAGTAATCGGAAGATAATAAAAGCATGCAGTGCCCGAAATGACCGAACAATTAAGAGGAGTTTTTTTAATAAATAATATTTACTAGCTAAAAATATGCAATCTATATACGACCAAACTATACTACAAGATATGGCATGTACTGGAGAAAGGTGCAGGGGCTGCAGCCCCCCCCCCCCCCCCCCCTCTCCGCGGCCCATATCCCCTGAGTACAAACGCCCGAACTCATCATATCATCAACATCGTCATCATCATCATATCATAATTATCATCATCATGTCATTCGCGATCATTCATCACCATCATAAACATCACCATCCTCATCCTCTTCATTAGAATCATCATCGTCATCTTCATCGTACCATCCTCATCTTCATCAGCATCTTCATCCTTCCTCACCTCCTCATCATGTCATCAACGCATGCGCAGTCAATCACCATCAGCAAGCAAAATGGCAGCGCCCACGAAACATGCGCTTTCGCTACAAATCCTCGCAGAATGTGGCACAACGAAAGCGAGAGTTTGTAAAATGAAACTTCCTCATCAAGTTGTGGATACGCCTGTATTCATGCCAGTTGGAACTCAAGGAACCATGAAAGGGGTGACGTGTGAGCAGCTGAAAGACTTAAATTGCCAGCTTATTTTAGGAAACACGTATCACTTGGGAATGAGACCCGTAAGTGTTGCGAGCTGGCCGCCTAGCCTAGACCGCTAGGATGCGATGCGACCATGATCCATGGTGCGACACTCCTCGAGCTCGGGGAGGAGGAGGAGGGGGGGGGGGGGAGGGGGGAGGGGGAGGGGGTGGATGCTCATAAGTTAGTTTGGCCTTGGCTTTTGCAAGCTGCTTTATCTTGACTCTTCAATTCTGATTCAACTAAAATTATGGGTAGCTCTAGGCCTAGTTGAAACTTAAATTGAAAAATGGATGGCTTTTGAATTTTTAGTTTGCTTGCTTATTTTTGCAGTGCAGTCACACTTGACTTCAGAGCCTGTGGATTGAGATGTTAATCTTATGAGCTAGTATTGATAATTGACTAGCAAAATAATGTTGTTTTTTTTTTGGGGGGGGAGGGGGAGGAGGTTTTATTCCAGCACTGAACACATGACATGTGCATTTTGGGTAACTGTCATGATTGTTGTCAATTAGGTCTATGATAATCTTACCGGTAATTACCTTTTCAGTTTCACTATAATTTCTATAAATAATCATGGCAGCTGGATATTGAGCTATCCATGCATATTAGATGATGTGCAATATACATATGTGCTCCATTCTTTGAAGTTTGATTAATTATTATTCTGCCCAATTCCAAGACCTCATATATTTATTTTTTAATTTTGTCATGGTTAACCACCCTTATCATTGTATATTTATCAATATGTAATTTCTCCCTTTTTTTTCCTCCTGTCTTTTCCTCCTGTCTTACAGGGTCCTGATACATTAGACAAAGCAGGAGGGTTACATAACTTCATGGATTGGAACAGAGCATTGCTAACAGTAGGTGAAGATGTTGTTTCAGAGGTTCTTGTCGGAAAAAAAAAGGAAAGCAAACTGATAATGGGAGATTAAGGGGGGGGGGGGACTGCCATAAAGATGAAGGGTAACGATAGGAATTTTCAACCAGTGCATATTGTCCAGGAAAGGATTAATCAACTACCATGGGTGCCCCAAAATCATTTTATCATTTCAAGGCTTTTCAACTCAAGCTCATTATTTGTATATCAAGTATATTTCTCATAGTTTAATTTTTAATCTATACCTTTTAAAGGTAAAGACCAGTTATGGTCATGCGATTGCATTGTGAACGAAACGTTGTGGAATCGCTCAGAAAAGGTTGATCATCTAGCATCTAGCATCTGCAAGGTTCTGGAATCATCAAAATGATAAGAAATTTGGCCCATTCTTCATAAAGTTACAAGCACTATACACAGAAAGTTGTATATGGGACTACCCTATATCTCTCACAGACCATGAGAGAAACAAATTTACCAAATATATGAATTAGTAGGCGGTTTCCCGGCAATTTTTTTATCATCATGTATAAGTCAAAACATATTCTTTCACATGATTGGTAATGAGAGCTTCCATTTCATTTTTTGAAATTGGGGCGTTTCCAATACTGGTCTTTACCTTTAAAGGAAGATAATTTTATATCTAAAAATATACAATATTTTTGCAAAGGAGGGGGGGGGGGGGGAGTTGATAAGAACCCTTCAATCTTTGATATATAGAAAGGGACATTACCCGGTTTTGGTAAAGCATTAAAGGCAACATGCTTTGTGGCTTCTGGGAAATTTAAAGCATGCAGATCTGATAACTATCTTTTTCTTTTAAAATCTGAAGACGGTTTGATATTCTCACCTCTTTTTTTTACCATACTCGATATTCTTTGCAGGACAGTGGTGGGTTCCAGATGGTATCTCTGTTGAAGCTCGCTGAGATCACAGAGCAAGGCGTCAAGTTTGAGTCCCCCTACAACCAGAAGGAGATGCTCCTCACTCCGGAAAGATCCATCGAGATTCAGAACAGCATCGGGGCAGACATTATCATGCAGCTAGATGATGTGGTGCATAGTCTGACTACAGGGCCAAGGGTGGAGGAGGCAATGCATAGGTAAACTCACTCAATTTATGATGATGGTGGTGATGACAAAAACTGATTTATTTATGAATATAAACTAAGTTAATTCAAATGCAACATCTGAAGGCCCAGTCTTACCAAGAGTTGTAATCAATCGCAAGTTTGCAATCTCTATGTAGTTGCGATTGATATCAACTCTTTGTAGGACGGGGCCCAGGTCTGTACAATAATATCAATGTTTATTGTATTATACATTGGAAGAAATGTGAGAAAACTTGCTTTATATACATTTCAAATTCTTGAAATGTGCTCTGTGCGAATTCAAATTGAACAGGTTATGAGTTTTTGAGATATCCCATTCAAAACTCATTTTTCTTTATGCATATGCCTGCTTCTTTCCTACAGTACCTCATCTATGTGTTAGAATTCAGTAACATTACATTGTTAGGGTTTCGTTTCCAGGTCGAATTCATTGGCTAGATTACTGGTAAAAAGTCCATGGAAGGCAACATGATCAACATTTCCTACTCCGTATGATATTAATACCCTGTTAACTTCTTACTCTTGTGATGTCAGGTCAATCCATTGACAAGACGGCTTTATGAAGCCCCATGGAATCTCTTCTGTCATGATCTCCAACTTCATACGATATATCGTTAATTTACTTTGTTCTTGTTCTTTTGATGACCAGGTCAATTCGTTGGCTAGATCGCTGTATAAAGGCCCAAGGGAGGCCACATGACCAGAATCTGTTTGCCATTATTCAAGGTGGACTGGACAAAGACCTCAGGATACAATGTCTCAAAGGTACTCTGAACCAAAGGTTTAGAACTTTTACCATTTCAGAGGGTTGCTTTAAAGAGAGTGTAGCTTGGCAAATACTGGTTAACACCATCTACGTCTTCTTTTGGACAACTGCAAACAACCGAAAGGACTTGATTAACGGTATTGAGCGACTTAATCTCTACATGGTCAGCGTTCGCGAAACGGACCGAAGTTCTCATGCCTCGGTTTCGCGTATGTTGCACGCACGTGATTGCTGCGGTCACGTCGTCCGTAGTCGTATTATATCTGATTGGCCCCAAGTCAGGCAACGGGAAAGACACGTAGTTGTTAGGCTACACTCTCTTTAACATTACATAGCTATTTATAACACCGTGCACACCTAACCGACCATATTGGATTGCAGCAAAACTAAAACTGACACATGAACTCAAGGCACTATATGCGATAGGATGTGTATTTGGATTAATGTTCTCGTATTTATGATTAATCATTATACCTTGGTCTATGCTTTTGGAGGTTTAGGATTGTTAATTGTATCATAAATTGTAGAGATGATGATGTATAATATACTGCAGGCTATGCCCTTGGAAGTCTCAAATTCATGTCTGTTATCTCCATACTTTGCAAAAATGGATTCACTAGGATATTATGCTATTTTAATCGTTCTTATTATACATTGAGAGTGTGGAAAGAAGTGTTTTTTCTGTACCTCTCAGTATTTAGAGGCTCTGCGATTGACTTGTAAAAGAAGCTAGAAAGCCTCTATCTCAAGAAAGCTCTCCCCTGTAGCTTCCTTACTTTAAAGTGACTCAGTAAAATTGCCTCAGATTCTGAAACAAAATCCTGGATTTATTTATCTCATGCTGCAATCATAATTATTATTCTTTAGGTCATTCAGGAATCTCATGACTTTTACAAGCCGATCGCTTGTCTGATTATCAAGATATTTATGATTGGAAATCAAAATTTCTGTTTTCATTTCCCTAACAGTTTTTATAACACTGTAGTCTATTGGGAGAAATGAGTATGGTAAAACCCGTCACTCAAAGATTTTTACTTTTTTGAGGCACTTCATGATCATTTTGAAGCGCAATTTTGTTTAGGGCTTCAACATGACACCATATCACAGACACTGATAACACATAGGACGATGCATCTCAAGTTTGTAAAACTGGAAACATTGTTAACAATGCCTTTAAAGGTAACATTGCCTCAGATTCTGAAACAAAATCCTGGATTTAGCTCATGCTGCAATGATAATTATAAACCTTTAGGTCAGTCAGGAACCCCATGACTTTTACAAGCAGATGGCCTGTCTGATTATCAAGATATTTATGATTGGAATTACAAATTTTGAAAACCGTTGTCATAACGCTACAGTCATTGTTAACATTGTTAACAATGCCTTTAATATGCGTTTTTTTTTTTCTTCTTCTCATCATTAATTTCAGAGATGGTGAAGCGTGACACGCCAGGCTACGCTATTGGAGGTCTTAGCGGTGGGGAAGAGAAGGACAAGTTCTGGAGAATGGTGTCCCTATCAACTGACCACTTACCAAAAAATAAACCCAGATATTGCATGGGAGTTGGGTGAGTAGTCAAACAATCTTAGGCCATTTAAAAAAAACTAATATTTAGCCTCCTCGCACCCTTCCTTTTTTGAGGCCGCCTGCTTTTGTTTTCTTTTTAAATGAAAAAACATGAAAAGCATACTGATAAGATGGTCTATTTCTATAAAAAAAAAAATATATGCTGGTGGCGCCGGCCATCTTGAAAAATAGCCCGACTGGCTGTCGGGAATATTTACCGAGCAGCCATTTTGGAAGAAAAAAAAAGGGTCTCCTCCTCCCTATTTTTCAAAAAAGCAAGATGCTAAACATGTGTTTTTTTTAATGGCCTTAAGAGCCGGCTGTATCAGTCTTTTGTACTCCTTCTTTGAAATAAATATATCAACACCAAAAGTCAGTCATGAGATTTATTACTCATCAGCAATGTTTATATAACCTTTATCAAAATGTTGTTTTAATTCAGTCCATTTCCATGAACTTTTGATGTCAAAACTCTCACATAGTTAATCGAGTAAAACTCACATTTGTCCAAAGCAATCAAAAACATATTTTCAGAAAAATTTGCCAATTTCCCCCTTAATTTATTAATTTTTTTATGTTTTTGTATTTCCAAACTATAGTTGTTTTTACCTATGCCTTCATATATTGTGGGATGTTTGTGATCTGTCAAACCTGTTTTTTACTCTACTTTCAGATATGCAATGGACCTTGTAGTATGCTGTGCATTAGGTGTAGATATGTATGACTGCGTGTACCCAACAAGAACAGCGGTAAGAAGCCCACTTTTCTATTTTTTTGTAAAGCCCCATTGCATTACTTATAGCTACTTGCGCCCTATATACAATGCCTAAGCCGTACCTGTTGATCCCCATGATGCCCTTTTTCTTATGTTAATTGAGAGCTGCTTTGATGAGATAACCACCTGCCAGTGACCTTGCAGGGAGGTCTAATCCCTCCATGCCAAACTAGTGCAGAGGGGCTTTAAGATGGACTTATTGATCTAAATCTTACTCGATATAGTTCATTTGGGTTGAAGTTCATTTATTTTCATAACAATGAAAGTAAACTGTGATGAGTGACCTGAGTTTAATAATCCGGATTCTTGCTTTATAGTACAAAGTTCTTACCAAGGTATCTTGGTAAAATAGTAGATTGAAAAGTTCATGGTTCAAGTGTTCATCTGCATCACTTATAAATGTCCTTGGGCAATACAAATATAGATAGTTACTAGTTGAGATAAATGGGTACCTGGTTTCAAGACATTCCTTGAATGTTTTGAGCACCTCGGGGCAGCTTAACTAAAGCCAAGGCATAGTAATATTCTGTAGCTACCTTGAGCATCTCCTATGATGGATCATATCACTATCATTACATAATCATTATCATCATAATTATTACCCTTTATATAATTTTATTTATCATTGCCAGAGATTTGGCTGTGCTCTACTCATGGACGGCCAACTTCAACTCAAGAACAAGCAGTTTGCAAACGACTTTCAGCCCGTCGACAAGGACTGCGTATGCTTCACATGTCAACGTCACACGAGGGCCTACATCCACTCCATATGGAACTTCAGTACTGTGGCTTGCCAACTCCTTAGCATACATAATATAGCTTTCCAGGTCAGTATCAAAATCTGAAATCAATCTAGTTTCATATTTGACTATTTCAGTCGTTCACCATATTTTATTGAAATGTGTTTCATAAAGAGTTGCAGACTTTTTACTGTATGCTATTCGATTCAATACTTAGAATAAATAAGAAATTTACTAAGTAAATTACTAAACTAAGAATGTTACTTATCTCGTTCTCAAATTGCATTTTAGACTTTTACATACTTCAGACAAAATTTAATTAAAATACTCATACTGATAAGCATTGTGACATCACACGGTCAATCAAAAGTAATGTGCGCTAATATGATTATGCACAGGTTATGATACTGCATTAGAAAACCATATGCCTGCCAATTAAGGCCTCCAAAGCTGTCTTGAATTTAGGGTAAAATACTTAGCCAAAAGTTTGAACTGAATACCAAATTTGGCTAAGTATTTTATCTAATCAGAAGACTAAGTAAAATATTCATATTTCAAACTTAAGTATTGAATTGAATACCAGCCCTGGGCTTGCCTAGCTGTCAAATACAGTTGACAAATCTTGTCTCTTTACTCCTTCATTTTCTTTCTTTTTTCATTATTCAGATGAGATTGATGAAAAATATACGAGAGAGTATCATGGAGGGGAGGTTTCCGGAGTTCATCAGGTCATACTTCAAGGATCTTTATCCAGACAAGAACTACCCAACGTGGGTCGTAGAATCACTCAGATCGGTTAATGTAGAATTAGAGAGATGACAGCACTGTATTTAATAGCTAGGTCTGTCGCTTAATACCAGATTTTTTTTTAAATCCACATTTGTAATATCGTCTGTTGTTGTATATTTGCAGGTTCTTGTAGATTCAGGATTCAAGATTATTTTATTGGTCCATGCATGCAAACATTACATAGAAATTTTGCTTCCATTAATGGCTTTATTGATTGACAGTGAACATACAAATGATAGAAAATACAATACAAAATTTGACTATAGAAAACGATGTACATAAATATGAATAATTATTTATAATGTGCATGTGCCCCTCAATTTCATATTGTCTACAAATACCATGCGTCATAATATTTCCTGTCAGCTTCCCTCTCTAATCTCTCTGATGAGGGAATGCTGTAGATTGACTAGAGAGCAACAGACTTTCACAATTTTTTCAGTGTAGCACCTAAGGTAGGGGGGAATGAAATTTAGAATCCTGAAGTCCTCAGGCGGGCATTGGCACTTTCCACGTGGATCCGACACTTCGCAATGTTTTTGGTGATCTTCACCTCGCTCTCGCTGAACTTGCCGTGGGATAGGAAGGGGGGTATGTTGACTGCAACACCTGATGGCACAATGTCCTGGATGAGAAAACCCTTGTCAGTAAGGATGAGGTCGCCGGCCTTGAAATGTGTGAGGATGCCATATTCCTTTACTACAGCCTTGTCAGAAACTGACCCTGGAAACAACTTGCTGCAATAAGTGATGACAGCATTTGGTGCTACACCCGGGAGAAGTTTAAAGGAATGCATACTGTACCTCTATATGAAGAGTAGGTTCTCTTTTGATCGCTCATTAGCTTCGGAGCAGCAATCTCCACATCAGTGCTCTCAATAACCATTTTGCAACTCCCAAATAGTTGGAATGCGTCTGGCATAGACAATTTGTTTTTATCGCGGGATGGGACAGTCTTCATCGTGTCTTCGTAGAGTAGATCAAATAAGATGTGGATGAATGTGATATGACGGCGTTGCAGATTGTGGCAGTGCTGGTGTGGAATAGTTGTGCTCGATGTAAATCTGTGTAATTTTGGTGCAGCTTCATGAGCGTGATGAGATCTGGTTCTAAAATGATATCGCCTTGACTCGCCAGCCGCTGAAATATTCAATGTTATCCTCAAAACATTGTAAGTACCCAGTGACAATTTCTAGAATGTTCTTGTTTGGGAGTCCTGTCTCCATACATACAACTTCATCTGTTAAAGGTACTATGTCCCTTTTGCAGCCAACCTGTTTATTACTCTAACTCCACATGGCAAGTGAGAGTGTACAATGAATAAGTGATGATGTGGCATCTTCTTGATTAGGGGCTTCTCAGTGAGGGTTGTACAGAGTTTCCTTGCAGGGTGATATGTAATACTGCATCGCAACAGCATCCCTATATCGTAGCCCCCTTCCTTATTCTTCTTTATGTAGAAGTCTTTTCTCTCGACCGCCTCCGCCATAGTTGCATTCTGCTGGGTGAATGGATGGCTTCCTCACCAACAATTCCATCAAATAATTTTGAAGAGAAGCAATTGAAACAGGCAATATTCTGGCAGGAACTATATATTGATTAAATCTTAAAAATAAAAAAAAAATTACAGTAAAAATACATGTAACGACTACATGCTCAATAAAATAATTTATCCACAAGACAGTTCACTACAGTCTAGAAACATACTCTCGTCCCACTGTGTCCTGCACGGGAAAACAACTTTTTCCAGTTGTCCCTGATGAAATTAATCATCATGAGAGTCTCCCAGTCTTCAAAATTACCAGCTCTGGACTGTACATATAATGAAAAGGAAAAAAATTGAAATACAACTACAAGGAAAAACATTTTTTGATTTAAATTCAGATCAAAATAGGGCCTACAATAGTATTATTGACTTTGGATTCGTTTTGAACACAAGCAGAATTAATTTTGTTAATTATAATTACCGGTAATGAATTCCCAATTTTGTTTTAAGATCAATCACATTTTTTCCCCTGTTTTCAAGGAACGGGCCCCAGAGTGCTAGACTAGAGCCTAGCTAGAGGTCAACATGCATATTATTAGCATTGACTCTAGAGTCTATGCTTTGTTGGAGTGGGTCTACCGTCTAGAGCCATCTTTTGATGGGCTGATTTATTTAGATTTTTGTTTCATGATTTCTAATTCTAGAATCTAGTATTGCCATTTGGATGAGAAGAATGACATTATCTTTCATTCCATACTAAAGTTGTTTTCCTCTGTTAATCACAACCAAAAGAAGAAGCGACCAGAAGACCAACAGGACTACCTTTTCTTCCGTATAGACTCTAGATCTACTGTTGATGTTGATGTCAACACTCTCGTGATCGATCGTGTACGGTGTAGAACGTGTCGGGTAAAGTGCCCTTACCCGACACGAGATTATACGAATGGGACTACATTTATCTTCGGTCGTCTGCATTAAAATTTAGAGCTAATTTACGATGCAATATTATAAATATCAATAAAGAAATGAAACTATCATCTCAAAAATTGAAATAACCCGATGATTATCTAATATTAAAAAAATGTTTCTGATTTGTAGATATAATTATTACCGGTAGATAAGAAGACCGGATTTTACTTACCTTTCCACCACTCTTCGGGCCTTTTCCTCCTTTTCCAGACGACGCCATTTTGCGGGATAATGGATACAAATATGGTTAGGCTCGTTCGCATATATGTAAATCAATTAAATTCAATTTTAGCTTAAAATCGATTTGATGAAACAGCTCACAAGTATCGGTTTTAAGCTAAAACTGATTCGGCCTTAAAATTGATTTCAAAAATCAAAATCAATTTTAGTTGATGAAACACCTGACCAGGACAGCCAGAGTCCAGAGTCGACTACCTCATATTGCTTGTATGCCTTTAACGCTTTGATACCTTCTTCCTCTTGGGTTATGCTCCACCCAGTTGATGGCTTGGATGCCGCTTTGGTCGTAAGTCCCTGTTAGCCGTTTGATAAGAGATGGTGTGACTCTTTTTCGCCTTCAACACGACCCCAAAATTGCTAGCGGTTAACCTCCCTTTCCTGAGTTGCTGCCACACAGCTTGCTGTTGTTCTACAGAAATCTTAAGTTTGTCTAGAAGAAAATCAACATTCAGGTTCTGTTTGACGTAGGCTGGCGAAAGAATCAGTTCTTCTTCTGAAGGGACTGGTAGTGGCTGGACGTCAGGCTCTGGGGATAAAAGCCAGTACATCCCGGTGAATTTAGTTCTTTTTGAAGCCAGTTGTGGTCATCATTGGTAATAGTCCTTGTAAGAGGGTTATAGTCCTTTGGTGGCGGGTACATCTCATCAACAGATTTTACGGTTGTTGGTCCCTTCTTCTTATGCCATTGGCATTCAACGTCTGTCCGGCTGATGTTGTGGATGCCAAAGATGATGAGGGCTGCTGTGTGGCTGCACTTGTACTGACCACACGAACTGTCGCACCTTGACGAGGTAACGCTTTTCTCACCCAGCTGTACCTACATGTACATGTGTTTTTTTAATCAATTTGAGAAATAAAAGAAGAGAAAACCAATTAGAATTCTTTTATATTTGTTTTAATAACAAAATAGCACAGAAAATATCATTTAAAGTCATAGAATTTACAATTCTTTGGCTTAAATTTATTAAAAAAATAATGTTAATCATTGTGTAATCCATCATCCATGTAATTATTATATAGACTTTTTAAACAATCAAATACAGAGCATATTCATAATATATGGTTTCACTGTAAACAAAAAATGAGTAAAGCACACTGGAGCTGGCCATCGTGTCTGAGACTGTACTTTGTCTTTAGTTTAGCTTCGAGTCTGATTCTGAAGACAACTGGCTTTCAATCTTGTATATGTACCTTCCTTTATTTTTTAAAGATATGATCATATGCATGGACTAAATGATAACAAATGGTTGTCTCATGAATCTTGTTCGATGAGTTAGGATTCAAACCGAGAAATATATCACGGAGTTCATGTCACAAACTTTGCAAAGCCTAGCTCAATTTTAAACCCGCGAAAGTCGTTGAATTTACTGTGCACAAACACAAATATGTGCAAGTCGCACATATTTGTGTTTGTGAATGTGAAGACATGACATTTTTTCGTCAACTACAAAACTCACAACGTTGTAACTTTTTGTCTTTCATGCTGGCTCTAACAACTCAAACTTTCAAATGTCTGTGTAGAACAAAGCCTTCTCCTGCGTGACAACTCTTTTTATTTGTACGAGGTAATTAATATACAGTCAGATGGATTTTTGAGATCTAACATATTATTTCTCGTTAAAGATGTTAAGTTAGGGAATTACATGTAGATCAACCCCATGATATTGTCTGTTTTGAGCCAGTACTTTGCAAATTGCATTGGTTGCAGGTGATGTACCACATTATGTACAAACTCGTAGTGCCTCCTCACAAATACTCCTTCAGGCCACACATTCCTGCAGACGTCTGTGATGTGAAATGGCCCAAATCTGGATTTTTCTGTAGCAAGTGACTGTGTCATTTTTTTTCTCCTTGAGCAATGATGAAGACATCGGTATCAGGGCTCCTTATAGCATACGCGCAGTGTAGAAGTAACCGAGTATCTGCTTCTTCTTGATCTGCGATGAGGTCTGGTATATCACAAACGACTAATTCCCCATTCTGAGGGCAGAGAGAATGGCATGTGGTTCCATGAGCTAGAAATACTTCCACATTCTTAAATTCATCTGGACTGGTATGTCTCCGTGTAGAGGAACTCCAAAATTATTTGTGGTCTGCGTGGAGGTCTGGTATATCACAAACGACTAATTCCCCATTCTGAGGGCAGAGAGAATGGCATGTGGTTCCATGAGCTAGAAATACTTCCACATTCTTAAATTCATCGGGACTGGTTTGTCTCCATGTGTTGAAGAGGAACTCCACTAATTCTTCCCTGCTTGCACCACATGTTATGTATTTCTTTCACTGAAGAGGGAAAGGCTGGTCTTTGCTCTAGATCTTCATTCTCTCTGTACCTCCAGCTGCATGTTTTCCTCGCTCTCCTTCCTTTATTGAAACAGTTTGGGAAGTTGAGATTATACGAATGGGACTACATTTATCTTCGGTCGTCTGCATCAAAATTTAGAGCTAATTTACGATACAATATTATAAATGTTAATAAAGAAATGAAACTATCATCTCAAAAATTGAAATAACCAGATGATTTTCTAATATTAAAAAAATGTTTCTGATTTGTAGATATAATTATTAGATAAGAAAACCAGATTTTACTTACCTTTCCACCACTCTTCAGGCCTTTTCCTCCTTTTCCAGACGACGCCATTTCGCGGGATAATGGATAACGCATATATGTAAATCAAGTAAATTGAATTTTAGCTTAAAATCGATTTGATGAAACAGCTCACAAGTATCGGTTTTAAGCTAAAACTTATTCGGCCTTAAAATTGATTTTAAAAATCAAAATCAATTTTAGTTGATGAAACACCTGACCAGGACAGAGTCCAGAGTCGACTACCTCGTATTGCTTGGATGCTTTTAACGCTTTGATACCTTCCTCCTCTTGGGTTATGCCCCACCCAGTTGATGACTTGGACGCCACTTAGGTCGTAAGTCCCTGTTAGCCGTTTGATAAGAGATGGTGTGACTCTTTTTCGCCTTCAACAAGACCCCAAAATTGCTGGCGGTTAACCTCCCTTTCCTGAGTTGATGCCAAACAGGGTTGTGTCGCTGGCCCTTTGTTGCTCGCTAGACAGCTTGCTGCTTGCTCGACAGCTTGTTGTTGTTCCACAGAAATCTTAAGTTTGTCTAGAAGAAAATCAACATTCAGGTTCTGTTTGACGAATGCTGGCGAAAGAATCGGTTGTTCTACTGAAGGGACTGGTAGTGGCTGGACGTCACGCTCTGGGGACAAAAGCCAGTACATCCCGGTGAATCGGCTTCGATCTCTAGGCTTACTGTCGCCATGTCTGTCTCTCTCGTGATTTCTCACAACTTCCTCGTTACTGTTCTTATAATATCTACACATCCGGCACTTGAAGACCATGGTGATGTTCTAGTTGTGATAATATTGAAATATATTTATTACTTCATGTGCCGAAATTAGAAATGATCATAGTTTCATTAGTAAAAATAAGTAGGCGGACGTCTATTTCTTTGGGGATAACATCTGTCATGTTTGGCCGTGTTAGTATTGTTGTCTTTGTTATTGTTACAAGTTCCGTCCTGATTGTTGAGTGTCTCCTCGACATCACATATGATGGTTCTTTGTGTTTTTGGTTTCTTCCAAGCGTCGAGTTCTGGTCCTTCATATGGTTTCAGACGATCGTAGTGAACGATCTTCTGGGGTGTTCTGGGTGCGATAAGTTACATTGGATAGTTTGGTTATTACTCGGAAAGGTCCGTCCCATCGGTTTGTTAGTTTTGGACTTATACCTTCTTTCTTTGGTCATGGCGAAGCCAAACAAATTGACCTACAGTGAACGTTTCGTCATTTGTATGCCTATCATAGTTTCGCTTTTGTCGTCTCAAGTTTTTGTCACTTTGTTCTGTTACCCTCGAATACATACTATCCATTCTGTTTCGTAGATTCTGAGCATAATCAGTGTTTAGTTCTGAAGTTGCTTGCTCAAACGAAAGGTCTACAGGGTGGGTAACTTCTCGGCCAAACATCATCATGTTTGGTGTCTCCTGTATTGTTTCGTGTACGGTGCTTCTGTACGCGGCGGTAGCAAAAGGAATATATCTATCCCAGTCTTGCTGGTGTTTGTCAGGATCAATCATATTTACTGGCAGTGAAACCCGGTACCTCCATGGACAGGGAAGTCTGCCCCGCCACTGGCGGGCAGGTCGGTAGTACTAGATGAAGCACCGCTGCAGAAAGCAGAAAAATCTGCCGCTATCTTTGCTTGTGGACCTTCCAAATTTCTCCATTTTGATACAAAATTTAGAAATCAGGACCAGGTCTTCTCGGAAAAAGGAGTAACTTCCGCTTTTTTTGATGGGTGTACACACATGTAACATACATTTTCGACCAAACTTTCTTCACTAGAAGACGGACAATCCTCTTCACTGGAATCTGCCATGTTGAACACCGTAAACGTAATACGTATACTACGCGAGCTGTCATTGGCTGTAATTTTATGAGTGATTCTACGAGCGATCTAATACAATGTCTGATTGGTCAATGTTTTACTAAGCATATGCGACGATTTGTGCCAAAAATAGTGAAATAAAACCAATAATTATCAATAATGCACCAAAATTACGCTTGTAAAAATTAACTGATTAGTTTTTGTATTTTTATCTAAATTATCAAACAAAAATTATCCCCACCTTTTTTATGGTCACGAAATGAAGCTTCTATGGCTTGACATTTGGGTCTATTACCCAAACTGTTTCTTTCGGGATAATTGGTTCATCTGAAGTTTGCACACATTTTACTTCAAACTGTCGAAGCAAAGTAGCTTTGTTTGTTTTTAACTACGGTAAGTTCCTTTCGTCTGTTGCCAGGCCAAAGGCTATGATTTAAGTGTGTGCTTCATCAAATCTTGTATGTCATTGTCTCGACTTGGCCGACAAGTTTGTTCAAGTCCAGTTTGAGTTCCTTCATTTTCGCTAAGATGACTGTGCCAATATTGCACCCGCTCATCGCCAGCTCACTGTGACCATTGCTTGGGTCTATCCCAACCTTTTCTACCATCTCTTGCAGGACATCTATTAGGCAGATAGGGGCCTCTACAATGGTTGGCTTTTGTTTTCCACCATTCCCTTCTTCAATGAAAATATACTGCATGATATGAGACGATTGAGTTAAGTCATTAATATATATCAAAAAAAGTAATGGGCCAAGTATAGATCCCTGGGGAACTCCGTGTTACGTCTGCAAAATCAGAAACATTATCATTATACATAGTAAATTGACATCAATTGCACAAATAACTTTTTTAACAAGAATGAATTCCACATATCTAAAACTTTTGTTAACTGTTCTCTTTTCTTCCCATCGGTTGTTTCATCTGCGATGATGCTCCACACTCCTGCCTGCTTAGCCTTATGGAGAATCTTCTCCTTGAGTAATTCAGCTGTACACTCAAATAGTTGGTTTTGTATCTCGGGGCTGATATACTGGGCATTTCCTAGACCGTGGATGACATGGTGCTGCAGTTTCTTATCGCCAGTTTCGAATCCGAAAGTTTCCATCATTCTCCTCAGGCTCATAGAGATCAAATTTTCCACTGTCTCCCCTCAGAGCTATGTTCTGACTCGCGCATGTGATGGCTGTATCCGTTATGATTCTTAATACTGATCTATTTTCCCCTCTCTTCTCTTTAATTTGTCGATCAGGCTTGCTATGTCATCTTTTGAATATACTTGGGTACGAGCAAGGAATTCTGTCACTTTGCTGGTGACAGACTTGTGGTAGTTGGTGTTTGCATGGGTTGTTAGAGCGCCGTCCTTTCCAGTCAGTTTGGCAAATGATTTCAGGGGCTTCTTCAATAACATACCCACAGTTTGTATCTCCATATCCCAGTGGCCCCCACAGGTGCTGGAAGACATGAACAATGCACCCCAGAGACACAGAGCACCCTCATAGCCATCCATCTCACTTGACGTGAGCCATGAAAAGGTATCGTAGTAATGCCTCCCAGGGTACTTTTTCTCCATTTTACCACCCTTTTTGTGCATTGAGAAAGGTAGATGATCCTTGTGGGGAAATACCATTCTATCACCCATGGTGACTTCATCGTCAATAATATAGTAGCCCTGGTCTACAGATCATAGGCTACGATGTACTACTTCTTAAATACTACAAAAGAGACAAAGAAGGCACTTACCGATATCTTTAGGCTCGGAGTATCCCTCAAGTCTGGTATCAGTCAGTGTCTAGTTCTCAATCTGTCTTGCCAGTGCACGAAGACCAATGGCGCCCTCTTGTGTTAGGAGCTTGTCTGCCTTGCCAGTGCACGAAGACCAATGGCGCCCCCTTGTGTTAGGAGCTTGTATGAGCTTGTAATAGCTTGTAGGAGGGTGGGGGCAATTCCTACTACATTCCCCCCCGTTTTAAAAAACCCAGGACCAATTGAAATAAACCCAGGGAAGTATCTTACCCACAACCGGATGGAGAAAAAAAAAATTATGCGTTCCCCTCCCTTGTGGCCGTACAACATCCCAATCTAAAAACATGTATCAAACATGCCAAACGAGACCCCTAACAAGCAAAACACGGGGTAAATACAACATGAAAATATTTTTGTTTTATTGGTTAAAAAACCAACCTACTAATTAATGCTTAACACTACCATTGCCAGGGGGAGATTCCCTACCCAAAACAATCCACGCCCCCATAGCGGGGAGCCATCCGCTGGTCCTCCCAGGCTGTGACGCCATCTTACCTACCCGAGAGGTATATTTCTCAGGTTTTTCGGAGTGTGACTGGAGAACCAGAAACTCACCTAGGTCACTCTGGCGCAGGAAGGAGGCGTCAGTTCCGCTATAGCACGGAGCGGGCCATTTGGAAAAAAGTCCCCCCTGGAACAACCAAAACATATGCCAATGGGCATTTAGGAAAAAATACTAAAAATCAAAAAAACTTACTGACATACGGTATATATTCTTGCTAATGTAGCAAAAACAAGGTGATAGGGACTAAATAATCCCCACCTCAAGTATACCCTGAAAATTTAACGGACCCCTAGTGCTACGGGAACAGAAGTTCCCGTGCACACCCGACCTACGGTATATGTTTTTGTTAATGTAGCAAAAACAAGGAGATAGGAACTAAATAGTTCCCACCTTCAAGCGCACCATGAAAATGTAGCACTACAGGAACAGAAGTTCCCGTAGCTAATATAGCAAAACAAGGAGATAGGAACTAAATAGTTCCCACCTTCAAGCGCACCAAGAAAACTTAGTTCCAGAAGTTCCCGTAGACACTCGACCTACGGGCCGTAGAGCGCTTGGGCGTTGACCCGAGTCTGCTCCAAGAGGGCCTGCAGATTGTCACCCCTCATTTCAGCTACCAACTCCCCCACCTCCCCGATGTAGGCGGGAGTGGCGTAAATAACGCCTCCCCCAACGGGTAGATGTGGAGAGTCGGTCTCTAGCAGCAGCCGACTCCGCGGCAGCAGGCTAAGGGCAGCCCGCTGTTCCTGGTTGTAGGACCTTACTAGAGCATTGAAGCTAAAGTAAGCGTTGGGAAAAGTTTTTCCCCACGCCTCAACTTCATGAGGGCCCAACGTGCAGCAATGTATATGGATACGTTGATGCCTATTCACCCTCCGTTGGACCTCTTGCCTACAAACCTTGGAAGGTCCATCGGAGGTTGGAGCCCCCTTCTCCCCGCGGATGTGCAAGATCAAAACCCTGCCAGTGGCACCGATCTTCTCCAGGATGGCCCGGAAAAGATTCAGTTGGGCCCCCCACGTCCTTGGGGGCATGGAGTAATCTAACCCCACTTCCCCCAGGGCGCTGACCGTGGCGTCAGATATGAGCCTGCCCAGGCGTCCAGGGCTGGCTTGTCGATCAGGTGGGCGTGCTTTGGGTGCACCCCTACTGCCACCTTCCACCTCCGGTCGTCAGGGAACCGTATGTCCCGGTGCCTCCTGGGGTCACAATAGTTGATGACGCCCCCACAGAGACGCACCGGAACCCGTGGCTCCCTGCCCGAGATGGCCTCTATACAATCCAGGCCCCTCTTCCCCACCCTGGCTTCTAGCCTGTCCAAATGGAAGTGGCTATCGAAAGCCAGGGGGATAGGAGGTTTAGAGATGACCTGGGCATAAGTATTGCCTGGCTCCCTGGAGCGCACAGTAAGTCTCAAATTTGCAGGTGGTGGAAACACACCCGCAACAGGATCAACCTTAGCAGGATTCTCGATCCCGCTACCCCCCTTTGCTGGCGGTCCAGTGTCCCGCCTCTCCGAAACAGCAACAAATTCAAAATTCCCGCCTTCGGATTTCAGCGGCGCGGCCGCAGTGCCCTCCGAAAGGGGATCCCTCCCGAGGTACTGCAGCTGGCTGTCATCTAACTGGGAGACCAGCCAAGCAAGGATGCGCCAGTGGAGAAGCGCCGCCGGCGTGTTGAGAGGACGGGCACAGATCTGGTTGGGAATGGCACCCCCCGACTGCTCAAGAAAGGAAAGCATGTCTCCCTCCATTGCAGCCGGGATATTCCACTCCCAGCCTTCCGGTGCCTCCTCGTTCACGTAGTCCATTAACCCTTCCAGGCGGGGAGAACCCATGATACATTCCGCCAGGAACCTCAGGCAGGCCACCTGCTGGAGTATTCGGGGCTCCCCGGGAGAGTGCTTCCCCTGGCATAGGCGCAACGCTACGGGCATATGCCCGTATACGTGCTGCTGCAGTTTGACACTAGGGCGGGCCCCGCACATAGGACACGCCCCCCGCCCCTTATGCTTCTTAGCAGGTCCCGTGACTGACCCGCTCAATGGCCGCTTTCCCTGGCCTGGCTGGTTTCTCGCATCCTGGCTTAACTGGCGCTCTACTGCACCCGCGTCCGGGTATGGAGTCCCTTCCTCCCGAGAGGTTATACCCTCCCCGGAAAACTGTTCCCCACCCTGTGCACTCGCGCCCCCAGGAGATGACCCGGGGGTAGCTGAAGAAAATGACCCGGAACCAGGAGAAGAATTCCCGGTGGTGTCCATGATTTCTTCCTCGCGCGGTCCCGATTCCATTTGGATGTCTGGGAAAGGACCCACAGCAGGTTCCTGGCACACAGTGCCTGGATCCGCTGCTAGATCCTCTATCCCTGACCCTGGGAACTGTGTTCCCTGGGTTCGTATGCTGCCCATGTTGGAAGGCAACATAGAAGCCCTCCCCCCGAATGGTGACAGTTGAGCCAGGCCGTGGTGAAAGCGTTGGCTCTCAACCATGCCCGGCTCCCACCAAGGAGTATCGGGATCGAAGTACATAAGTGCCTCGTCCTCCTCCTCGGCTCCCTCCCCGGCCCCCAGTAACGGGAACCTGCTGATGTATTCCTCCAGGGGCAAACGCCCCCGGAGGTACTCATGCAGGCAACCAACCCAGCCCGCATCATCATTGGTGACCGCCCGCCCATACGCCCCATCGAGGGACCCCAGGACTACGTCCCAGGGAAGCTTCGACAGGGCCATACGCACTAATACACCCGGATATGGAAGGTGTCTACCCCTCCCGAGCCAATCCAGGACCCCCCTAGCTACTACTTCCTCCCTTGGAGGTGCCATATCTGCCCCTCCCCTAACGGTACTCCCAGGAACCCCAAGAAACCCAGGCCCCCCTTGCTCCTCAGAGGGCGCCAAAAGCCTATCCCCCTCCGATATGTCTTCCAGGTCTGAGAAGTCCTCTGTGTCGTCCAAAGGTAGCGGCATATTCGCCGCTTCCTTCATCTGTAGGGAAGAAAAGAGAAAGGCGGAAACACAATTAGTTCCCGCCCCAAAATAACTACGTCTAACCTTACCTCTTCCTTCGCTCCACACACAGAGGACAATAATACTTATCTATATTGGTTCTCTCGCAGTCCCCATGGAACCAATCTTCGCAGCCGTGGCAGCCGATCATAAAACGGGTCTCATCATATGGCTGGCGACATATACAAAACAAGCTCTCCGGGTCGACTCGCCTGCTCTCTTGGCACCACTCCGGCAACTCCCGGTCCCGGCATGGCGATCCTGATGGACAGTGGAGATCGACTTTCGGAGTTCTACCCGATAAAGATCTGGAGTCAGCCTCTTAACCACCCTCCCGGGCCTTTCCAAGGGCTGCTCAGTTTCTTACATCTGCCCTTGACCTGTGCAGTGTCAAGGACATACACTGGATCACCCTCATTGAATTGCCGCCGGAACGAGTGCACATCGTAATCGCGCTTCATTCGTTTCTGGGCGCTCTGTAGATTGGCCCTAGCTGCCTCATGCGCCGCCTGGGTTGCCTTGACCAGCTTGCTCAAGTACTCCTCTCGATCCAGGGTCAAATTGCCCCTGGGGAGGGGATACATTAAATGGGCTGGCTGGTTCACCTCCCGCCCGAGCATCAACCGGTTAGCGGTATATCCGGTATTCCGGTTAACTGTAGCCCGGAGTGCTCCGGAGATTTGTGGCAGGTACTCGTCCCATTCATTTTGGTTCCGCCCCACGTAGCACCGGACTGCATCCATCAAGGTACGGTTATACCTTTCTACCTGGCCATTTCCCGAAGGTCGGTACGGTGTTGTCTTGGCCTTGTGAATCAGCAGGACTTTGCAAACTCCCTTAAAGAGTTTGCTTTCAAAATTGCGCCCCTGATCCGTAAAAAACGCAAACGGATAGCCGAAACGGCAGAAGAATTCCCCCACTGCAGCACGGGCAGTCTCCTCCGCCGTCTGAGATGGTAGTGGGATACACTCTACCCACTTGGTGAACTGGTCCACCATCATGAGTATGTGCTCGTTTCCCCTGGATGACTTAGGCAAGGGCCCAAGAAAATCCAGGTGAACCCGCTCCATAGGTGCCCCCGCGTGATAATTGCGCATGGGACTTTTACCGTACCTGGTTGTCTTTTTGTTCTGATTGCAGGCCTGGCAAGTTCGGACATACTCCGCCACATCCTGGCCCATTTTGTACCAAAAGTACTTGACCCGAATGTACGACTTGGTCCGATCCCTGCCGGGATGACCCGCAGCCGGAAGGTCATGACCTGCATACATGACCTCCTCCCTCAACGACCTGGGCACTAGCAGCAATAAACCCTGGTCCTCACCATTTTTGCAGATGACCCCTTCGACCAGCGTGAACTGAGTCCTGTTAATCCAGAGGAACTTCTCCTCCGGACCCCACAGCATTATGGTGGCCTCATCGGGTTCCCGCTGATCCTCTAGCCATCTACTCAGCGCCTTCAGAGTAGGATCTTTCTCTTGTTCGACCCGCAGCCTGTCCTCGGGCAAGGGTAACCCATCCGCGACTCCAACAGGCCTTAGTCTTACGGTCTTTATAGCGGGTTCCTCCATCGCGGCTCCGGCTTCCCGAGGAGAAGTGCAGATCACCGCATGGGTCCTTCCGATACCCGCTTTTGGTTCCAATTCCAATTCCTAGCCGCGCCGGAACTATACTCGGAGTGCAGACGATCGACCAAAAAATCACAGCAAAAATGTCTTAAACTGAGCTAATATTACAGCCCGGCTCGCGACACCCACACGAAACAACAGAAAAATATACACAACAAATGACAAAATAGGCAAAGCAGAATAGCCCGCCCTGCCCAAGACGAAAATTCGAAATTAAACTTAGGATCTAGTCTACTGATTATAGCAAATCACAGCGAGCAGCTTAGCCCAGCGCATCGGACCGCATATGTTACCTAATGCTTTAGGGCAGCCGTGCTCGCTGTGCAAAAATCACAAGTCTTAAAATTCCTCGCAAATGCTATCCTTTACTGTATATGAGCAACGGGTGTATTTTGTTCCATCTGGAAGTTCAATTGTTTCTACGGTGTGGATAATCTCCTGTCCAGCTGTGTGGTTCCTTATGTCGCTCACGATGGTTCCTCTCTTCTTTATGGCAGCCATTCCTGATTGAAATAGATCATTTACAGTGGGAGTGGGGTCGGTTTGAGTTTCCCTGTTTCCTACATCGAGTTCCACCTGGGTGGCATTGTTGACTGTTTAGTTCCTCCCAGATTTCCTCCACGATGTGGGGTTCGGAGTCTAAGCTAGCGGCGATATGATAGCCGGAAATTCCTCGAATAGCACCGGAGTAACGCTTCGCCTTGGTTTTATGGACTAGGTGATTGGAGACCTAGTTGGGGTTGGTAGGCGCCCGGGCAGAAGTTCCTGATGTCGGTGGTGCCTCCTGTACCTTGGGGCCGTAGGTAGCGTGTGTGGTCCACTCTTTTACCTGTGGACTTCCAATTCGTGCAGGCGTAATAGTTCCTGAATTGTAGAGCGGTACTGGCAGTACCTGCACCTATAAGATGCAGGCCTCTGTTGAATTCCGATCGTTTTTCGGACGTAGCTCTTCATCTAATATATGTAGAATAAATATAAAACAAGATTTTATAAGTTACGATGCTTATAGTTCATCCTTTGAAGTTTATCTCCACAAAACCATTGTTTAATAAAAGAAACGTGTGGGTCTTTTTTTTCTTAGTGGATAGCGTCTAGTAACTTCTTGTCTCTTATTTACAGTCACGTCGGGCGTTGAATCATGATCAACCTCTTCAGAGTTGGGCTCTATCTATCTCTCTGGCATCATTTCCAGCATCTTCTCGTCTAGTTCTTCCATTTATTAGGCTCGTCTCCATTACATGGTTTTAAACAGTCAAAATGCACAACCTTCATCTTGGTTCCAGGACTCTTTTGGATTCTGTATGTAACATCAGACAACTTTGTCTTAATCTTGAATGGGCCATTCCATCTGTAACTTAGTTTTGGACTGATGCCTTTGTGTCTCAGATTATTTCGTAACCAA